TGTGTGTGTGTGTGTGTGTGTGTGTGTGTGTGTGTGTGTGTGTGTGTGTGTGTGTGTGTGTGTGTGTTTGTGTTTATGTTTGTGTTTGTGTGTGTGTTTGTGTTTGTGTGTCTCTGTGTCTCTGTGTCTCTGTCTGTGTGTCTGTGTGTGTGTGTGTGTCTGTGTGTGTCTGTGTCGGGGAGGTTGGGTCCCTCAGTAAAATTCACACCCACTCCGTAATACCAGAAAAAACGCTACCCTTTGTCATGTGCAAGGCCTTCCATTGCACAGCCCCGCTGCCCAACAGACTCGGGATCATGGTTTCCTGCTCACCTGGATTTCTCCAACCCGTCCTACTTTTCTTGGCGCATGTCCCTCTAAAAGTGGTCCGAATCCCAGGGCACCATCCCATGAAAAACCAATATATATATATATATATATATGGCCCTTGCAAATGGGAAGCCCATCTGAACCAGTGGAGCCATCTATTTCTACCCAAACCTAAAAAGGGACCCCCGGCGATCCGGAACGGAAGCGAGCTCTGTTCGAGCAAAAGAGCCCCCCGGCTGCGCTGTGTACAGCTGAGCCTGCGATCGGCCGAAAGGACGAAGCCCGCACATCGGGGTTCATCTCGCGAGCGAGGAGATTGGGCCGATTGGGGAGGCCCTTGTAAAAAAAAAAAACTGAACTGAAGCCAAGTCTGAAGAACTTGAAGCAAACCTCTCGGAACAGCGTCCAACTAATTAAGCAGCCCTGGCTCACAAATATACTGAAAGGGGATGTCCCATGGTCAATTGGAACCCCAGTTCTGCGCCAGGTTGATTCATTCGGTGCTATGGCTTTGGAGCGATCGCTGGAAACAACGGGCCTTGGCATCATCGCATTGCTGCAGACCTGCCGGGCAGGTCTGAACCCCCAAGACACCAGCAGGGGGAAACCGGGAACAACAAATGACCCTCACAGGCCAGGACGCTTGATCTTCCAAGCATAGGTGTTGTTGTTGGTTGAAAATGGCCCTGGTTGATTGAACCACCAGGTAAACCAGGAATCGCCCTCTATTTCTAAACCACATCAACCAAAAAGGACACCTGTGCTTCCAAGGCTTGCAAAATGAGAGGATCAAAGGACCTAATTCATCCTTTTTCGGGTCCTGGAAGTCGCGGAACTAAAGTCGTGGGAAAACGTACTCATTTGCCGCCGACGCTCAGACCATGGATGTGGAAGGACTCGCTAATGGCCTAAAACCCACCCAGAAGAGCACCAAGCCGCAAAGTAAAGAGTTGCTTTTGGGCACGGCACCACTGGCACTTCCGTGGCTTGGCCCGAACAAGTCCAAACAGTTTGCCACTAAACTGACTAACCGGACCGGTCTTCCCGGACAACTTCGAAGTCCAGGAACTCAGGGAGTGAGAAAAAAGGGAAACCAAAAGCAAAAGCCCGCCATTTTCGCCGCGCATCCAACCTTCCCCCCCCCTGCTCCCCCCCCCTCCCATCCCTGGCCGCCCCGAGCCGCCCCGAGCCGCCTGCCACGGCGGCCCGGAAGAGCGGCTCCGCCTCCGAGAGGCGGCCCTGCTGCCAGAGCCCCGTGGCCGTGGTCACCTGAAACCGCGGCCGCGGCGCGGCGCGGCGCGTTCCCTTGGGCGGCCTTGGTGAGGGCTTTCCAACCAAACCAAAAACCACACCAAACCAAAACCAAACCTACCAACCCGACCGACCAACCAAAACCAAACCAAACCGACCAGAGCGGCTTACCTGAGCAACAAGCAGCTCTGGGCCCCGCATTTTGGCGAGCTCCTTTTGTTTGTTTGCGTCTTCGTTCTTTTCCGTCTGCTGCACATGCGCCTGCTGCTTCAGAACCTCCACGTCTTGGCCCTTCTCCTGTCTCATCTCCTGACTGACGAGCACGACAGGATGCAACCCCAGAGAGGGGCATTGGGAAACCATGTGAAGCTTTGTAAAAAGTAGGGGCCCTTTTCGACATCCCCTTCAAATGGCAGCACCTTGAGCACCAGGTCCCCAACAAGGGGCCCCATATCTTTCGGCTTTCCCGTCTTGGCTCGGACTTTGCGAGCCCTCCCCAAACTCATATGGATGTGGGTCAAAAGCCTAGGTACCCAAAATGGAACCCTAGTAAACGGAAATAAGCGCAAAATCTGCGGTCCATATCCTGGTGGCTTAACTTTGACCCAGGCCCATGCCCATATCGTTGGCTGCTTCCAGCGGATCTATGCTCCTCCCCCCCCCCCTCCCCCCGGGCGCGAGCCCTCCTCGAGGCGCTTGGCCGTCAGATCCAACAGGAGCGCATGCGCTGCGCCGCTGAAGGCTTGCCGACAAAGCCCGCATTGCAGCCCCTGGCCGCAAGGCGAAGATGGCTTCGTCTCTCTTTTCTTCTGGGCGGAGAGAGCCAGAGGACCCTCCGTCTCACATCATCTTGCCGCCACAAGGCCAACAAGGTGTGTAAAAGACGGGTCAAAACAGCCAGAGAATACCAAGTGCTGACCTTGTCTTGCTGGTTCTGAGGAATCAACAGGATGAGCTGAACAGGGACCCAAGGGCTTAAAGGAAACCACAAGGAATGGTTCATGGGGTCATTCCCATGCCTGGACATGGCTGAATCCACACACGTTGCAAGTCTGGAACAAGGACTCTCTTGCCCAATGTGCAATTGATTCAGGCTGGCTTGCGTTGCAGTATGCGTGACAAAATAAGGAAAACCAATGTTCTGACGTCAAAACCGTTTCTTGATCGGCTCGGGCCTAAGGAATAGTATCAGAAAGATCCACTGTGTTTCCTTTGGCCTTTTGATTTATAGAACAACAGCAAGAACCTAAAAGAAAAGAAGGTACAAAAAGCCCCACTCATCCTTGACCAAACTGGCGCTGCACGTTCTCAGAGCCTGCGCCCATCCCCACGCATCTTTTGTTGGACCCCTCCCAATCCAGGAAACGACTCGAACACCGAAGCCGCAGACAAGCCAACGCAGCTTGGATTCTCAACTTCCGCAAAGGTGGACGGAGCATGTGCCAAAACAGAAGGCACCCAAGACCAAGGACAATCCCAAAATGATCTCCCGAGTGAGAAACTCAAACAAAGGCTCGGATAACTCGGGCATCCCGAAAGACAGCCCCAAAGACGTCCCCAACGGCATCTCCAAAGACATTCCAAAGGCATCTTCAATCCCCGACGGCAAACCATAACGAAGACCCCCCGAAGACATCCCCCGAACATCTCTTCAAAGACATGCCTCAAAAACAAACATCCTCAAAAGCAATGGCACGCCCAACGGCATCCGATCCCAAAGACAGCCCAGCAGAGACATCTCCAAAGACATCGTCCAAAACATCTCGCTCCATGAAAGAAGGACCCCCAAATCAAGCAAAAAGGCATTCCATTCCCTCCACTGCGAAATCTGCCCCCTGTGCTCCAAACTGCCTCATCTGTCACAAAATTCCTCCAAAGTGCTGCACCTGCCACACGCGCACCCCATGCCACCAAATTGGGTCAACTTTGCAACAGAAGGCGACGAGAAAACACTCGGGCAAGTACCTGCGAGCGCATTCCAAGAAACATCCCCGGAATGCAGATCAGTCAAGCAAAGCTGTCAAAACCCCGTGCCATGGTGCGCAGAGCGACGCGCCAATCCAGCAAAGCCACAGTTTGCATAGAGGCGAAATGGGCAAGGTCATTTGCTTCCAAAGTCATTCCCAGCGCTCAAACATTTTCTGGCCACCTCCTGACCCCCAAAACTGCAAGGAAGGCCTTGGGTCTGGCGAACGGGAGGTTTGGAATCCGAAGTGCTCTGCGGATTCGGGTGACACCGGGGAAAAAATGGTGCTGAGTAATTAAGGGGCCCGAAAGTTGCTTGAAATGTCTCATCTTTTGGTGCATTGTTTGAATTCCCCGAAAGTCCCCTCCCCCCCGAGCAAAAGGTCGTTCAATTTTTGTAGGTTTCATGGAAACACCGTGTGGCTCCAAAAGGCCTCAGGGCGCTTCACACCGGTCTGACAGGCCAAGAGGCCATCCAAGGCGTCGCGGAAACAAACAACGGATGTCCCATGAAGCCAAGCCGAAGCTCAACCACTCCAAACTGAACCTTTGGAGTCTACACCAAACCAAACCGAACCGGAAGAAAAACGGCCACTGCTCGGTCCGTGTCTTTGTTTGTGTGCTTTTTCTTCCTTTTTTCTTTTCCGGCGAAGCCTTCTGGGGCTGAGCTGCCCACTGCAGCGCCAGGCACTCCCGGCAGATGAAGCGCAGGGAGCCCCGGCAGGCGCAGACCGCCTCCAGCAGCCGCGCCTCACCTCGCACGGCGACTGCGATGTGTTGACCCTCACTTTGGGCGTTAGTTGTTGTTTTTTCTTTTTCGTTGAAAAAAAAGCTTTAATGGCTGTGGGTCAAAATAGGTACCCAAACTGGAACATGCGTTAGATTGTTCCCTCAAATGGTTGCACTAAGGAGTTCTTCCCGTGAGAGTGCAAATGTATGCAGTAGATTTTATGTTTACCTAAATGGCTGTGGTTGTCAATACTAGCATAACCCCAAAATGGGTTACCCTGGTTAAAAAAAAAGGACTAAAATATGTGGCTCCCCGGTGGCTTAATGTTCACCCATACCCAAATGAAATGTGTATTTGAGGTTGTCAGGTACAAAGAGTTTTGTTTGCTTCTTTATTTCTTGAACTGTATGGAAACGATGCATTCCCTGACTCCCACCTTGCCATGGCACCTGACGTTCGGGACCCGGTCCCTTCAAGAGGAGATTGATCTTCCAGGTACCCCCAGCTATGTTCGCGGGAGGAAGGGTACATGACATGTTCATGTAGAGTTGTCAGTTGCAAAAGCTCACATGAATTACTTCGTTGGATTGCATGGTAACGGTGCACAGGGGTCCGTCGATGTCCCCCTTTTTTTGATAAGCTCAATGGAACCCAAAATGAAGGGGGATACCACGGTTTTATGGTGTGAAGTAAGTTGACAAAAAAAAAGGTCTACCTATGTGGGTCTGCCTAGTATGTGGTTGGCAACCGTTGTGCTCACCCACTTACAGGACAAAAGTTCACCCAAAGCTCATGTGAACCAGGTAATCATCAAGTTGAAGGGAGAGATGAGTCAGTTGCTTGTCTTTCCTCAGTTGGGCTTGCAGGGCCTATGAGTGTTTGCTGCATTGCTACTATTTCAAATGGAAACCATGCACTGTTTCCTACTTAGGGAACTTTCAGGGTCCTTTGGTCCCGGTGCTTTCCGTTCAAAGAACTATAAAGAGGGTCATGCTGAGGACGTCTTGCGCTGGACACCCCCCCTCACCCATGCACCAGCGGAGAAAAAAAAAACGTGCGTTCCTAGTTCCTAGTCAAAACTCCGGGTCATGGTCATAATTCAGGAGTCCTCATAGCCATTCAGATCTTTCAGAGGCTGATGAGCATCACTACCCCAATGCAGTTTTAGATCATCCTGGAACTTCATTCCAGCAAAACAACGTTGCGAGACGTATGGAGAAAGCTGGGAGAAGCGCATCCAGCTGCTTTCTAGATCCATGGATCCCTTTGGCTGGTCTCTGACTGGTCGGGGAGTCCATGGCCCTACCAAACCCAAGTAACAACGCTTTTCCTGGGCATATCTATCATGGGCTTATGCTCACATCGATCTTGCCAGGAATCCATGCTGGTCAGGGGCTCCACCTCTCGGTCGGTTTCACTGCTTCCATTTGAAAGGGTCTGGTTGACTGTCTCCTCGAATCCCGAATCCCGAAGGCAGTGGGTTTAGCTTGTCAGCCAACTGAACAATCATACAGACCCAGGGTTCAGGACCGTGACAAATGTGGCAAATTGGGGTTTAGTGCTGGGCAGACCCACCTGTGGGGGCAAAAAAGAGAGAGGGACTCGTACCTCCCGGTTTGCCAGATGGAAGCCAAAACCCAGATGGGTCTGTTTGTTTTAAGGGTACCCAAGGGAAACTAAGAGAAAAACCACCATTCCCCCCCAAAAAAAAGAACAACAAATTGAAACTGACTCACCTCCGCTTGGTTGCCCCCGTGTCTTTCGTTCGACACAACTGACTCTGACTCCCCCAGAGAATGCTTGGGCCCCCTTCCCCCTTCCCACGTCCCCCCGAAAGCCCAACCCTCCGTCGCCTGGGCCCTCCATGCAGATGCGGCAGCCCCGCTCCACCGCGTCCGAAGCGGCGACAGCCGCCTCCGCCGGGAAGGGCGCGGCGGCGGGCGGCTGGGAGTCCGCCTGCCGAAAAGGAATCAGCGGACCATGCCAGGGACCTCATCCAACTCCCACAAGTACTGAAGGGTACTGGGGACTTGGACCCTCCGCAGAAGCTTTGCGAAAGGCGAAAGCTGGTTGAAAGGGAAGTGATGGAAGACCAAACAAACCAGCAGGTCAAGAAAGGCGAAGTTCAGTCTGGCAACGGACGCTGGCTTACTTTCTTGGAGGACAACTCAAACTTGTCGGTGCTCAAAGCACCCAAAAATCTGCTGCCCTGCTCCGTGAATCGCAAGGCTCCGAGCCAGTAGCTTCAACGAGCTCGAAGGCTCCCGTTGCATAGGCCATCCCAAAGCAGAACTTGACAAACATAGCACGCGCACACGCACATATTTATGTATGTATATAAATACAATATACGCATCAAGGAAAATTGCAAGCCACGCTTTTCTGCTGTGTTTTCAACCGCGCCTTGCTGGAAACCAGGGTCTTCCCCGAAGCTTGCAGAGGTTCTTTTCAAGGTACGTCATGCGGCATGCGCCTTCCCCCACCCTATTTGAAGACGTACCTCAGTGGGTGCACTGTAAGGGTTCTCAAAGCTGTTTGTGGGCCCCCGTTGCATTTTCACAATGATTTAGAGGGTTAATTTGACGATGTTTGAGGAGCCCAGTGTTGCCGTGCCTTGTTTGCCTTACCAACGTTGCATGCGTTCACTAAACTAGGCGGCTCTCCTCTTGGTCCCTTTAAACCAACCAAGAAACGGATACACTCAAAAACCAAACATGCACACACTCGCACACTCGCACGCACACACACACAGAGACAGACACAGAAACAGACACAGATAGACACAGACTCACACACAGACACAGACACAGACACAGACACAGACACAGACACAGACACAAACACAGACACAGACACAGACACGAACACAAACACAAACACAAACACAAACACAAACACAAACACACACACACAAACACAAACACAAACACACAAACACACAAAGACACAAAGACACAAACACACAAACACACAAACACACAAACACACAAACACACAAACACACAAACACACAAACACAAACACACAAACACACACACAAACACACAAACACACAAACACACAAACACACAAACACACAAACACACAAACACACAAACACACAAACACACAAACACACAAACACACAAACACACAAACACACAAACACACAAACACACAAACACACAAACACACACACACACACACACACACACACACACACACACACACACACACACACTTTAAGCTCACGCAAAAGCACCGCCCCATGCGTCATGTTGTGACCACGCCTGGCGCATCAGCACCGCCTCTGCCACCGCCACCGCACCGGCGGAAACGTCCCTTAGCGCCACCCGCAGGCGGGTATAGGCGGCGGCCGGGGCAAGCAGAGCCTGCGAAGCGTTTCGACCGCAGCCACTTAGCATTCCAATTCTGGGCGTTGAGAATCCTTCATCTCTTTGAGGGGAGCATCCACTTCCCCGAAACCTGTGGGTTGCAAGGTTTGGGTTGGAGGAAAAGACACGCCCCTCATGTGTCATCATGATCGTACTAATGTAGAAAGAGCTATGAATTTCGATGGGAACCACCTGAACAGTGGATAACCGATTCTAAATTCATTCCTACATACCTGCCATAGTATGTATATGCACCAAAAAATGGTCCAGCGTTCTCCCCTCCCCCCCATGGTCATCTTCAGGACCATTAGGCCCCTTCCCCACGAGAACAAACATTACATTTTGTATATATATATATATATTGTTTCTGGGTGTGCCTTTCTTTTAGGGGACCCGCGGTATGGGTGGTTTTCCTTCAGGTTTCCCTTTCAAAACCCAAACACATGGGGGGGTATGGTAGTACCGAGCCTCAACAAAACGGCCACCCATGCATCTTTGCACAAGAAGCCCCGGACGCGTCTCGCTGGAGCTTCAACCCAAAGGCCTCCAGCTCCACGGGCAAGTCCTGCGAGACAAGGGACCACGTCCAACCAAGAACCAGGGCAACATCTCGCGCGGCCAGGGGCAGGGGGGGAACTCCGAAGACCATACCCGCAGAGCCATGCTTGCAGCAAAGATTTGACCAAGAGAACAGGGTGTGTTCTCAGCTGCCCCCCTGTCGCCTCCGAAGTTTGGCCTTCTGAAAGCGTGAGAAGTTGAGTGGCGCGGCCCCAAAACAGCCAACACCCCTACATGGCTTTCAAAGCATTCGGGGCAACAGAGTAAGAGGGGTGCATCATTTAAGGCACGCCCAGTAAGTAAGTTGGTTGTTGCGCAATCGGCAAAGAAATAAAGAAAGAAACAAAAAAAAGAAGGAAAGAAAGAAAGACATTCCCGTTGGGGCTATCCCTTGCAAACCTTCTGTCTGAAATCCCTTGCTCCGGAAACCGCCATCTTCTCGAGGAAAAAAAGAAAGAACTTTCGCGGACCCCATCGCGGAACTTTCGTGGGTCTGTTTGCAGAACATTCATCACAAAAGTAGTAGACGAAGTACACTTTCGCAGCCCCACATCGAAAGTCGCAGCGTTTCAATACGAAAGTAGTACAAAAAGTAAACTTCCGCAGCCCGGCTTGAGTGTCGCAACTTTTCAATACGAAAGTAGTACACGAACTAAACTTCAGCAGCCTCGAAAGTCAAAACTTTTTAATACGAACGTAGTACACAAAGTAAACTTCCGCAGCCCCGGCTCGAAAGTCGCGACCTTTCAGTTCCAAAGTAGCACGCGAAGCGCGCTTCCGCAGCTCCAGCTCACAAGCCGTCAGCTACACACGAGAGGACCCGCTGGCCTCATGTCCGGAAACTGGCGGGGAGGTCCGTCGATTTTCGCGAAACTTTCGCGGATCTTATACTCCAAACATTCACGAAAATCCGGCTGGAAGTTGCACCCAACTTGCCCCGAAAGCTTCAAAAGCTTTTGCAGCGGCGTATTCTGCGGCGACACTCAGGCTGCGCATTCCCCCGACCAACTTTAGTCTGCTGGCATTCTGCGCGTGCACTGACGGTAAAGACACATGATTCATCACTCCAGCTTCCTTACACAAAACTTTCGCAAATACAAAACTAACTTTCGCCACCCCCTTCGCGGAACGTTCGCGGAGGCCAACGCCAAGACCAAGAGGTCTTCCCTTTCATCGCTCAATACAAGGACCTTTCGGATGACTCTCAGGCTACCCGGTTACCCAATTTTTGTGGCTCAACACTCAACGCATCGCAAAAAACCTCGAGTTTTTGCATCTCGACCACGCCGATCCTCGGAGAGGGTCGCGCGGGCACCGCAAGAATCGCAAAAAACCACGCCGATTCCCGCAGAGGGTTGCGCGGGCAGATCAGAAATCGCGAAAAACCTCGAGTTTTTGCACCTCGACCACGCCGATCCCCGCAGAGAGTTGCAAACCCGATCGATCAAAGTCCTGCCCCGGCGCCCTAGAAAGCTAAACTTAACTTACATAGCTGCTAACGCCGAAGCGCTATGCACTTGGCTCTATGCACTCGGCTCTATGCACTTGGCTCTATGCACTCGGCTCTATGCACTCGGCCCTGCGCACTCGGCTCTATGCACTTGGCTCTATGCACTTGGCTCTATGCACTTGGCTCTACGCGCTTGGCTCTATGCACTTGGCTCATGCGCTTGGCTCTACGCACTTGGCTCTATGCACGGCTCTATGCACTTGGCTCCATGCACTTGGCTCTATGCTGCACTCGGCTCTGTGCACTCGGCTCTACGCACTTGGCTCTATGCACTCGGCGCTATGCACTTGGCTCTACGCACTTGGCTCTACGCACTTGGCTCTATGCACTTGGCTCTATGCACTCGACTCTGTGCACTCGGCTCTTTGCACTTGGCTCCATGCACTTGGCTCTACGCACTTGGCTCTATGCACTTGGCTCTATGCGCTTGGCTCTTTGCACTTGGCGCTATGCGCTTGGCTCTATGCACGGCTCCATGCACTTGGCTCCATGCACTATGCACTCGGCTCTGCGCACTTGGCTCTATGCGCTTGGCTCTAGTTGCACTTGGCTCTAGTTGCACTTGGCTCTATGCACTTGGCTCTATGCACTTGGCTCGCACGGCTCTATGTACTTGGCTCCATGCACTTGGCTCTATGCATGTGTTTGACTCTGTGCAAGTGACTCTATGCAAGTTGGTCCGAGAGCTCCGCGCGGAAGAACTCTTCGCGATGCTTTCGGGAAAAGCGAAGAATTTCTCTGCCTAGCACTTGCAAGGAAAGGCAATGTATTTGGTGTAACGCGCCAGGCGCTGCCTGGGAGGCCATCCTGCACGTGGCTAACTTATTTACTTCGTTCATTTGCTACTTAAAAAATCGCTGAGCGAAGCGAAGTGCCACGCCAACATGCACAAAGCCGCGCAAGCCAACGAAGCACGAGGAACTAAACTGAGGCGAGCGGCCAACCAACTCATGAGGTTTAATTGATAGCCAGCAAGAAGCTACTTGTACGTCGATGTGAAACAACTATGCTCGTAAAAATGAGCAAGTGAGTTTCACCATGCCTGGATGTCGATAAGAAGGGGCGGAGCGCCGTCTTCCAGGATCACCCGGCGAAGGCCACCGAAGAACGCAGAAGAAAAACCACTCTGTGCAAAACATGCAAATGAACCCAAGTCCGCAAATACGGTTGTTGCCCTAACGCGCCAGAGATTGGCAAGGAAAACCGGCACACGTAGGTCGAGTTGCACAAGTAGACACACTTTCCAGCTCTATCGCGGTATGTTTGTTGTTACCTCATTCAATCGGTACAACCGCATTTGCGTCAGACGGTTGCTAGCTGTCCTCTTCAGCATGTACTTCGATGACAGCACTTTCCCAAATTGGGCTAGTGGAGCTGCTAGGCGCCGCAAAAAATGCTCAGACCTTCACACTTCCGTGGACTCGTTTGCGATGTGTCTGAGGCATGCCGCCGGGAGGTGGTAACCTTCTGGGCGATGAGATTTTTTTTAAGACCAAGATCCTCGGGGCCCCTCATACTGGGCGTGAAGGGGCCGAGTGGCATGTCCGCGAGTGGAAGGTGCACGATCAGGCCAGCGAGGCCACGCTTGAGAATATTCACCAAAACAGTAGCACGTCGTACTTCTTGAAGGCTTTGTGGCGCGAGCCTACGGGGCTGCAGGATGAGGCCCTCGCCCCGTTCGGTTGGCACGATGCAGGTTTACCGTTCTTTGCTTTCAGCATAGGATGACTGGTTGTTTTCTTCTCTTTCCCGTCCTGTCTGACAAAAGCTTTGCTGACAGTTTGCGGGCATGCGTGGGCACGCTTGCTTTTATTTGGCTGCTGGCGCTCTTGCCACGGTTGGCTAGCATTTTCCCGCTTGCCTGGATTGTTAACCAGAAACATCCAGAAACACTTCGCGTACTTTGCTAACTGACAATGTGGCTGGAGACATCAAGGCCAAGGCCAGGGCAGCAAGGGGTCCACTCCGAGCAGGGGTGCCAAGAAGCGATCGGCGCGTAGAGCCGGTAAGAAAGCTGGCCGCTGGGCCACGGCACCTTCCGCGAGGTCGGCATGTGTGTAAACAAGCCTACGCTGAAACCTCGAGCTACGGCTGCGACGACACCATCTTGCAAATCCTCACCAAGGGCGGAAAAGCAGGCGTCGGTCAATCTCCGTGCAAGTGATGCTGTAGTAGATGCTTCTTAAACTCGTGGTTGGCCGTGAAACGAAGTAACACACGCGCGTCCTGTCTAACACACAATGGGCACGGCGTGGGAAAACAGTCCGCCTGAAACGGGTGAGCCCTTGCAACAGAAGATTTCTACTGGGCCAAAATGTGACGCAAAAAGGACAAATCCACGGTGTGGGCAACGTGCGGTCACAAACCCTTCCTCTTTCCCGTTCAAAAGTGCGCGGGCAGTCTGAGCAATCAAAGCCTCCTTCGCAAAACGCGCCTCTGTGTTGGGACAAGCCTGCTCGAGTCCCATACTTGCGCCCACACAGATGACACGGAAAAGCTTCATCTGGAACACCACGCGTCTTGGGCCCGTCTTTTTTGCCGTACGTTGAGCGCACCTTGTCCATAGGCTGGGCCGTGTTTGGCGCCAAGAGCCCACGCCGGTCTCGCCTGCTTGCGCCTCATCCTTCGTGGCGTCGAACCAGTGTACATTGGGATCTGCGCCGTTGCGTGACTGCTCTTCGTCGCCTGAACGGCCTGGACTGCACTACCCAATAGTAGGTTTAATAACCCCAGTTCAGGCTCTATTTCATGTAGTCGAGTTGAGTGGTTCGGACTCTGCAAGATCACTCATCAAAGGGCGTCTGTCAACAACGCAAAGTTAGGACGTTGCGAACAACTTGATACAGTACACGCACTTGCGGGGGCCCTGGTCCGGCGGGCTGCGGCGTTGTGGCAAGTCCGCCAGCGACATCTGCCTCAGCGGGAATTTCCGCGGTGACATCAGACCTCCGGAACAGGCGGGTCATCACAGTGAGGGCACACATAGAATTCCCGTCCAACCTCGTCGTGCGTGGACCACCGTCGCACACTTGGCGGACGTTGAAGTTTTCCCAGTCAACCGCCTGAATTGACTGTATCAGACATGATCGCTGCCCGACGTGCCGATCAAGGGCCCTCTGGAAAAAGCCATGCTGTCAACATCTGCTTCTGAAGCGAGGAAGCTGTCTACATATGCTTTGGCGGCCCGCGTCGTCCTGATGGTACGATCCGTTTCATTGAGCCAGCTTCCCAACACCTTCACATGTTCGGAGAGGCTCCGGGCAAGCGTCCAGGGCTCCCCTCCACAAACAGGCGTCGCGTTACAGTCTCCTAGGTTCAAGGGCTTAGCTGGCAGCGCGTCTCATTGTACGCGTGCGTGATGGCGTTCGGCAAAGTCAAGGAGCGGAAACGAGCGCCCTTGTACTGAGATATCGCGTTGCGCTACGCAAGCAACGCAGCACAGACAAGAGTGTTTCTGGCACCCAACCTTGCGAAGATCTCCAAGGCACTTTCACGTGCGCTCGCGTGTGTGCCGTTGTTCTGTCCACAAGAGTTAATTCAGACGAAAGGCTGCAACAAACCTGTTTTCGTGCCAACCTTCAGCGCTTTTTAGCGCAAAAGGGCGCGGGGAGGCCGCTGGCGCCAGAGGATGTGGGCTACGATGCGGCGCGTGCAAAGGTGTGAGCATGCTGGATCGAAACTGTTAATTCTGGGAGAGCATGCAGAAGAATCGAAACGTGAGACGTCACAGCGAGGGCTCCCCGCGTCCTTTGGCGCTGAGGAGCAACGCGTCCTCTGCGCAACTTGTGGAGCGAGCCATTCCGTGGTTCATAGCCAGGTTGACAGAGGTACTCCCGGGGCGATGGCTGCAGTGCCGGGGAAGGGCGCATTCCCCTTTTGCGTGCAGACCGGACGGAACGGACGGAACGGCGGGGGCGCACTAGGACTGCGCCTCCCACGCAGCTGTGACCTTTGTATGCGGCTACTCGAGGAGGCGGCCATCATGGCCTGCTACAACCTTCAGAATTGCATTTTCCTCCAGGCGCTTCTTATCGACATCCAGACATGGTGAATTTCAATCGCTTGTGTTTAGGAGCGTAATTGCTTTACATGGACGTACAAGTAGCTTTCTCGCTTGCTAGCAATAAAGCCTCATAAGAGAGAAAGAGAGAAAGAAAGAAAGAAAGAAAGAAAGAAAGAAAGAAAGAAAGAAAGAAAGAAAGAAAGAAAGAAAGAAAGAAGAAAAGAAGAAAAGAAGAAAAGAAGAAAAGAAACGAAAGAAAGAAAGAAAGAAAGAAGAAAAAACATAATTAATAAATGAAAGCAAGAAAGAAAGAACGAGAGAGAGAGAGAGAACAGAAAGAAAGAAACATACGATGGACGTAAATTGTAATGTTCCAAGTGAAATGTTCATGGTCGCGCCAAATCAAGGACAAAAAGGGATGGAATCATTATGCACATACCCAGACAAGAAACGGGGTGGATAATGGATACATCCATATGAGAAAGACGGCCCATGATCTCTGTCCCTCAAGCATGGCGCAACAACACCCCGCGCAATCAAACACAAACACAACTGCACACTGCCCACAGACGCTTCCCACATTCTGGGAATTTGGGTTTGCCGCTTGAATCATAGGCAACCCCAACAAAATTAAGCAAACCGGTGCGCTTTCAAACTTTCCAGAGACTGTGTGATTCAAAACATCCCCAGCAGTCAACCCACCCAACCGACCAGCCAAATTGCCAAGATGATCCAAGAGCAAGCCAACCAACCGACCAGACTGGACGAACTGAAATCATCCTTCCAGTTGGAAAACAGAGTCATGAAGGTTAGCAAGGGATAGTCCCGACGGGAAACGGGTACACCTTTTGATGATTCCATTGGCTTTGATTCCGGTGGATCATTTTAATCCCAGGGTTTCAGTATGACTCTGTCGTCTACCCAAACAACAAGCAATGCAAGATATCGATATGACATGCTCAACATTGCCGTTCAAACTCTAAACGGTGGTTGCAATGGACAACCATCCCCGAAGGTCATTTTGAGAACCACTCAAAATCCCTTGCCACTTTAAGGAAGCCCGAGCCCTCTCCAAAACAACAGTAGACCAACGATCAGTGTCCCTCCCACAACAGGGCTTGGACCGTGTCGGGAGGCTACTCAGCTGAGACAAGTCCCCAAAACGGCATGGGAAAACTAGGGCTTCTCGCCTCGTTGCAGCTGAAATGTTCGTGAGTCCCCCATATCCTTATTTTGGCACACACAAACTTTGACTGAATTTCAATCACCCGGCACCTGGCCTCCGCGTCCCATCCTTCCACCAGCTCCATGCATGGAGCTAACGCCCCACGAGCGGAAGCTAAGAACTCAACTTATTGGAGTTGTCGAAAAACAACCATTTGGATGTGCGTGTTTATTTGGCTCTTTTACATAACAAGGGCTTTCTTGGTTAACACTCAACTCTTGACCAATCAGAGCAATGTCATGCCACCTTTCAACGAGACTTTCCGCTATCGTCGTCAAAATGTCCCCCTTGCACCCCGAGAAATCCAAAACATGGCCAGTGGTCAACCCTGAACCAGGACTTCACCCCCTCTTCTAGATGAGAAACAATACTCGGTTGCTTTCTGCTCCCCTGCTAAAAGTTTAACTTTTAGTGGTTTAGTGGAAAACCCATTAGTTGGCAAAAAGTTAGAGTCCTAACAGCCAAGCAAAATGCACCAAAGTAACCGTGACGTTTCTTTGTCAAGCGATCCCTTCCAGGAGCTCTCGACACGCGAATCCACGAAGCAGTCGGCGAGCACTGTGTGGTTGCGCGGCGAGCGCCGTTCCGGTGGCTTGCGTGGCAACATGGAAAAGTTAGTGCAAGAATCAATGGCATAGCCAGGGGGCCCGAAAATAGCAGCGCAAAACCAAGGCACAGTTTGCGCAGCTGCCTCAAACACCTGAAATGCGCACTGGTTTTACCCTGGGTTGCAAAGAATGGCGCGGTAAGAGGCCAAATCAGATTTCCTACTTTCGAAACACAAAGACTCCCTGTTTTATCCGCCCAGCCTCGAATGTTGATTGGCGAGAATACCGACACGTGGTTCTGTTCTGCAGCCGTTGCTCGGGTTGTCTGTAAAAACAGTGCCGCTCGGCTGAGGCGTGGTCGTTGAAAGCGTTTTCACTGGCGGTCGAAGAAGGTTCCTTTCCCCTGAAGTCTACCTAACCAGGTTCGTTGATAACTTGCTAAGATTTATCGTTTCTCTGAAAATGTCATAAACGTCAAATCCTTCCAACACTAAAAGCTTCAAAGTCCAAGGGTATGGCTGGCAACCGCGAATGAATTCATGTAACCTATTCACCTGCACGGAGCAGCTGCACCCATTTATGGTTGGGATTATCCCTTACTCACCTTTATCCAGCCAGGTTTTGAGGACGTGGCTCAGGCGGTACACGCTCAAGTCGCATGCCGAAAACTGCGACATGGGACAAATGGATGCAAAGTGCTTCACACACTGACGCGAATCCAAGTGCCTCGCGCGGCGGTTTTTCCTTTCTTTCTTTTCTTTTTGGCCTCCGGTCACCGCCTCTGTGTCATCGCCTGAGGGGCCATGTAGCAACTCTTTGTCAAGCAAAACACGGCTTGCAGGCCATGCCGATGATTAATCCCGTGATTCTGGAGTTTAAGCCAAAGACTACATTCTACAACCCAAAGCAGGCAATTACCGAACAGGAATCCAACCCCTTTGACTGCTGGATTCATCAAGTTAAGGGCCCATGCACATCTCCGCACCTGCCTGGCATAAGCAAGCCTGGCTTTTATGTTGGTGTCCTGCATCCACCGGGGAGTTCCCTCATTGGGCGTCAAATCCAACATGTTTAGCTACAGCAGATTTGGGAATGATTTCATGACATTCCAAGCAACATCTTTGAGGTGAAGCAAGTTGGTCAAATACAGATCCAGAGTGGAATTTGGCTTTTGGGAGAACTGGCACATGGTCGCTTTGGTATCCAACCCAGCATGTATCCTTGTTGTTGAAAGCTAACATAGCTAACCAAAAGAAGGCCTTGTCACACGCTGAAACATAGCCACTTGACCCAACCCATGCCTAGCACTCGCGAGCGCGCAAAGGAGACGCAGTGTAGTTGGCCCAGTCGCCCCAGGCGCTGCCTGTGAGCCCATCCTGCAAGTGGCTTGCCGCGCATGCAAACCAACGAACGGGGAACCAAACTGGGGCGAGCGTTCAAACTCAGGAGGCTTAGTTGCTAGGCAAGAAAGCTACTGGTACGTCCATGTAAATCAATCAGGCTCCTAAAAACACATAAGCAAGCTCGTGTCAACGTGGCTGGGTGTTGATAAAAGCGCCTGGAAGAACATGCCGATGATGGCCATCATGGCCAGACGTCCGTTCGCAAGCTCGGCTGCGAGTTTGGTTTTCTTGGCCTCTGGGTCGGACGCGGTGAGCACCTTGAATCCGAAGTCACCCGCCGCAGCAGGAGTTCCCGCCGACTGGTCCTGGGACACCTCGCAGAAGGCCATGTAAGCCAAGATTTGTCCCCACCCTGCAGCAGGAACTTTGGAAATCGCCGCCAAGCCGTTGGGCACATCCGCGAACTTCAAGCCTGCGGAAGGGCTCAGATAGCCCGGCAACTTTCCGGTGATTTCTGGAGTGATGTAGCCCATGGTAGCCTTGGTCAAATGCTCAAACTCAAACCCAAGATGAAAAAAAGGCATGTTGCATATTAATATATGTTATGACGCTATCATGTTTGAAGCAAAACAAGCAAATGAAAGATACTGCCGAACTTTGAACAAATGGCGAGCATGGAAATTCTTCCGTGCTTCAGCTCCGTCTGGCGACGTCGGGCAAAGTTCTCGGTGCTGCCGTCTGCCGCGAACCCGGCCGGGTCCCAGAATCCGACCGGGGCTTGCACACCGAGCTCATTCTCGAATGCTCGCAAAGGCGAGGCAGTGTAGTTGGCCCAGTCGCCCCACGCGCTGCCAGTCAAGCCGTCCTGCACAAGCGCTTGCATATGCATTTGGCCAACGTTACTAGACAAAGCTGCATGCTTGCTTGGAAAGTCTAGCAAGTGTGGTAATCATCTCGATCAGTTCGTATCATGCCAGAAGAACATGGCAAGTACGATCCCTCGCAGGCTATGCAAGAATCAATCACAGTCTGTCCCGTCTCCGGTATGGTACTATGCCTACCAGCACAGCTACTACGCTCATTAACACATGCACACCAGCGCGATCGCTGCTTGAATGCAGGGAACTAACCACGTGTTACACGATGCTCTACATTGCTTTCACCTGGGAAGAAAACGATTGCTTTCCTGCTTGTGGACTTGAGATGAAAGTTTCAACCAGTGTACATCTGCCAAAGTAATGCAGTTGCGCTTACTCAAACCAACCACTTGTATTGAGTTGGCCAGCATCTTGCTGACAGTGCATTGTCACACGTGTTTGATGGCGTGGGTTTATTGCAGCGGATAACGACTTGTGGCTGACGCCGGGATATAGATATTGCAAAGCGCAACTGCACCACTTTTTCAACAGTGACACGATGTTGCCGTTGACAGTTCTTGTTCCCCTCAGCAGTTGCAGCGGTTCTGCCTGGTTATCCTCTCTCTTTCTAAAAGACGAATGTGGCGTTGCTGCCCTACCACGTGAGATTAGATTCAATCGTGTGAGAACAAAAAAAAACATTACAGCAGGCATGTGCCCGCTGTGTATCAGAAACAGGTAAGATTCTGACAGACAAACAGGAATTCGCTCACAAACATGCATAACATACAACAAGTTGTAATAACCATGTTGCCAAATTTCTCCAACACCGCCTGGAAGAACATGCCGATGATGGCCATCATGGCCAGACGTCCGTTCGCAAGCTCCGCTGCGAGTTTGGTTTTCTTGGCCTCTGGGTCGGACGCGGTGAGCACCTTGAATCCGAAGTCACCCGCCGCAGCAGGAGTTCCCGCCGACTGGTCCTGGGACACCTCGCAGAAGGCCATGTAAGCCAAGATTTGTCCCCACCCCGCAGCGGGAACTTTGGAAATCGCCGCCAAGCCGTTGGGCACATCCGCGAACTTCAAGCCTGCGGAAGGGCTCAGATAGCCCGGCAACTTTCCGGTGATTTCTGGAGTGATGTAGCCCATGGTAGCCTTGGTCAAATGCTCAAACTCAATCCCAAGATGGCAAAAAAAAGGCATGTTGCATATTAATATATGTTATGACGCTATCATGTTTGAAGCAAAACAAGCAAATGAAAGATACTGCCGAACTTTGAACAAATGGCGAGCATGGAAATTCTTCCGTGCTTCAGCTCCGTCTGGCGACGTCGGGCAAAGTTCTCGGTGCTGCCGTCTGCCGTGAACCCGGCCGGGTCCCAGAATCCGACCGGGGCTTGCACACCGAGCTCATTCTCGAATGCTCGCAAAGGCGAGGCAGTGTAGTTGGCCCAGTCGCCCCACGCGCTGCCAGTCAAGCCGTCCTGCACAAGCGCTTGCATATGCATTTGGCCAACGTTACTAGACAAAGCTGCATGCTTGCTTGGAAAGTCTAGCAAGTGTGGTAATCATCTCGATCAGTTCGTATCATGCCAGAAGAACATGGCAAGTACGATCCCTCGCAGGCTATGCCAGAATCAATCACAGTCTGTCCCGTCTCCGGTATGGTACTATGCCTACCAGCACAGCTACTACGCTCATTAACACTTGCACACCAGCGCGATCGCTGCTTGAATGCAGGGAACTAACCACGTGTTACACGATGCTCTACATTGCTTTCACCTGGGAAGAAAACGATTGCTTTCCTGCTTGTGGACTTGAGATGAAAGTTTCAACCAGTGTACATCTGCCAAAGTAATGCAGTTGCGCTTACTCAAACCAACCACTTGTATTGAGTTGGCCAGCATCTGGCTGACAGTGCATTGTCACACGTGTTTGATGGCGTGGGTTTATTGCAGCGGATAACGACTTGTGGCTGACGCCGGGATATAGATATTGCAAAGCGCAACTGCACCACTTTTTCAACAGTGACACGATGTTGCCGTTGACAGTTCTTGTTCCCCTCAGCAGTTGCAGCGGTTCTGCCTGGTTATCCTCTCTCTTTCTAAAAGACGAATGTGGCGTTGCTGCCCTACCACGTGAGATTAGATTCAATCGTGTGAGAACAAAAAAAACATTACAGCAGGCATGTGCCCGCTGTGTATCAGAAACAGGTAAGATTCTGACAGACAAACAGGAATTCGCTCACGAACATGCATAACATACAACAAGTTATAATAACCATGTTGCCAAATTTCTCCAACACCGCCTGGAAGAACATGCCGATGATGGCCATCATGGCCAGACGTCCGTTCGCAAGCTCCGCTGCGAGTTTGGTTTTCTTGGCCTCTGGGTCGGACGCGGTGAGCACCTTGAATCCGAAGTCACCCGCCGCAGCAGGAGTTCCCGCCGACTGGTCCTGGGACACCTCGCAGAAGGCCATGTAAGCCAAGATTTGTCCCCACCCCGCAGCGGGAACTTTGGAAATCGCCGCCAAGCCGTTGGGCACATCCGCGAACTTCAAGCCTGCGGAAGGGCTCAGATAGCCCGGCAACTTTCCGGTGATTTCTGGAGTGATGTAGCCCATGGTAGCCTTGGTCAAATGCTCAAACTCAAACCCAAGATGAAAAAAAGGCATGTTGCATATTAATATATGTTATGACGCTATCATGTTTGAAGCAAAACAAGCAAATGAAAGATACTGCCGAACTTTGAACAAATGGCGAGCATGGAAATTCTTCCGTGCTTCAGCTCCGTCTGGCGACGTCGGGCAAAGTTCTCGGTGCTGCCGTCTGCCGTGAACCCGGCCGGGTCCCAGAATCCGACCGGGGCTTGCACACCGAGCTCATTCTCGAATGCTCGCAAAGGCGAGGCAGTGTAGTTGGCCCAGTCGCCCCACGCGCTGCCAGTCAAGCCGTCCTGCACAAGCGCTTGCATATGCATTTGGCCAACGTTACTAGACAAAGCTGCATGCTTGCTTGGAAAGTCTAGCAAGTGTGGTAATCATCTCGATCAGTTCGTATCATGCCAGAAGAACATGGCAAGTACGATCCCTCGCAGGCTATGCAAGAATCAATCACAGTCTGTCCCGTCTCCGGTATGGTACTATGCCTACCAGCACAGCTACTACGCTCATTAACACTTGCACACCAGCGCGATCGCTGCTTGAATGCAGGGAACTAACCACGTGTTACACGATGCTCTACATTGCATGCACCTGGGAAGAAAACGATTGCTTTCCTGCTTGTGGACTTGAGATGAAAGTTTCAACCAGTGTACATCTGCCAAAGTAATGCAGTTGCGCGTACTCAAACCAACCACTTGTATTGAGTTGGCCAGCATCTGGCTGACAGTGCATTGTCACACGTGTTTGATGGCGTGGGTTTATTGCAGCGGATAACGACTTGTGGCTGACGCCGGGATATAGATATTGCAAAGCGCAACTGCACCACTTTTTCAACAGTGACACGATGTTGCCGTTGACAGTTCTTGTTCCCCTCAGCAGTTGCAGCGGTTCTGCCTGGTTATCCTCTCTCTTTCTAAAAGACGAATGTGGCGTTGCTGCCCTACCACGTGAGATTCGATTCTATCGTGTGGAGGCAAAAACACATTACATCAGGCATGTGCCAGCTGTGTATCAGAAACAGGTAGGATTCTGACAAACAGGAAGGCGCTCACAAACATGCATGCCATACAACAAGTTACAACAACCATGTTGCCAAATTTCTCCAACACCGCCTGGAAGAACATGCCGATGATGGCCATCATGGCCAGACGTCCGTTCGCAAGCTCCGCTGCGAGTTTGGTTTTCTTGGCCTCTGGGTCGGACGCGGTGAGCACCTTGAATCCGAAGTCACCCGCCGCAGCAGGAGTTCCCGCCGACTGGTCCTGGGACACCTCGCAGAAGGCCATGTAAGCCAAGATTTGTCCCCACCCCGCAGCAGGAACTTTGGAAATCGCCGCCAAGCCGTTGGGCACATCCGCGAACTTCAAGCCTGCGGAAGGGCTCAGATAGCCCGGCAACTTTCCGGTGATTTCTGGAGTGATGTAGCCCATGGTAGCCTTGGTCAAATGCTCAAACTCAATCCCAAGATGGCAAAAAAAAGGCATGTTGCATATTAATATATGTTATGACGCTATCATGTTTGATGCAAAACAAGCAAATGAAAGATACTGCCGAACTTTGAACAAATGGCGAGCATGGAAATTCGTCCGTGCTTCAGCTCCGTCTGGCGACGTCGGGCAAAGTTCTCAGTGCTGCCGTCTGCCGTGAACCCGGCCGGGTCCCAGAATCCGACCGGGGCTTGCACACCGAGCTCATTCTCGAATGCTCGCAAAGGCGAGGCAGTGTAGTTGGCCCAGTCGCCCCACGCGCTGCCAGTCAAGCCGTCCTGCACAAGCGCTTGCATATGCATTTGGCCAACGTTACTGACAAAGCTGCATGCTTGCTTGGAAAGTCTAGCAAGTGTGGCAATCATCTCGATCAGTTCGTATCATGCCAGAAGAACATGGCAAGTACGATCCCTCGCAAGCTATGCAAAAGTCAATCACAGTATGTCCCGTCTCCGGTATCGTACTATGACTACCAGCACAGCTACTACACTCATTAGCACATGCACACGAGCGCGATCGCTGCTTGAATGCCGGGATCTTACCATATATTAAATAATACTCTACATTGCATTGACCTGGGATGAAAGCGACTGCTTTCCTGCTTGTTGGTCTGAGATAAAAGTTTCCACTAGTGTACATCTGCCGAAGCAATGCATAGGCGAGTGCACACATGTTGCGCATGCTCAAACCAACCACTTGCATTGAGCGGGCCAGCACCTGGCTGACAGCGCAGTATCACGCGTGTTTGATGGCATTGTGGCTGACGCCGGGATATAGATATTGCAAAGCGCAACTGCACCTCTTCTTCAACAGTGACGCGATGTTGCCGTTCCTCTCTTTCAAAAAGACGAATGTGGCGTTGCTGCCCTACCACGTGAGATTCGATTCAATCGTGTGATAGCAAAAAACATTACAGCAGGCATGTGCCAGCTGTGTATCAGAAACAGGTAGGATTCTGACAAACAGGAAGGCGCTCACAAACATGCATGCCATACAACAAGTTACAACAACCATGTTGCCAAATTTCTCCAACACCGCCTGGAAGAACATGCCGATGATGGCCATCATGGCCAGACGTCCGTTCGCAAGCTCCGCTGCGAGTTTGGTTTTCTTGGCCTCTGGGTCGGACGCGGTGAGCACCTTGAATCCGAAGTCACCCGCCGCAGCAGGAGTTCCCGCCGACTGGTCCTGGGACACCTCGCAGAAGGCCATGTAAGCCAAGATTTGTCCCCACCCCGCAGCGGGAACTTTGGAAATCGCCGCCAAGCCGTTGGGCACATCCGCGAACTTCAAGCCTGCGGAAGGGCTCAGATAGCCCGGCAATTTTCCGGTGATTTCCGGAGTGATGTAGCCCATGGTAGCCTTGGTCAAATGCTCAAACTCAAACCCAAGATGGAAAAAATAAAAACATGTTGCATATTAATATATGTTATAACGCTATCATGTTTAAAGCAAAACAAGCAAATGAAAGATACTGCCGAACTTTGAACAAATGGCGAGCATGGAAATTCTTCCGTGCTTCAGCTCCGTCTGGCGACGTCGGGCAAAGTTCTCGGTGCTGCCGTCTGCCGTGAACCCGGCCGGGTCCCAGAATCCGACCGGGGCTTGCACACCGAGCTCATTCTCGAATGCTCGCAAAGGCGAGGCAGTGTAGTTGGCCCAGTCGCCCCAGGCGCTGCCAGTCAAGCCGTCCTGCGCAAGCGCTTGCATATGCATTTGGCCAACGTTACTAGACAAAGCTGCATGCTTGCTTGGAAAGTCTAGCAAGTGTGGTAATCATCCCGATCAGTTCGTATCATGCCAGAAGAACATGGCAAGTACGATCCCTCTCAGGCTATGCAAGAATCAATCACAGTCTGTCCCGTCTCCGGTATGGTACCATGCCTACCAGCACAGCTACTACACTCATTAACACATGCACACGAGCGCGATCGCTGCTTGAATGCCGGGAACTAACCATATATTACATAATACTCTACATTGCATTGACCTGGGATGAAAGCGACTGCTTTCCTGCTTGATGATTTGAGATAACTTTCAACTTGTGTACGTCTCTCAAAGCAATGCATAGGCGAGTGCGCACGTGTTGCACCTGCTTAAACCAACCACTTGCACTGAGCGGGCCAGCACCTAGCTGACAGCGCATTATCACGCGTGTTTCATGGCATTGTGGCTGACGCCGGGATATAGATATTGCAAAGCGCAACTGCACCTCTTCTTCAACAGTGACGCCATGTTGCCGTTCCTCTCTTTCTAAAAGACGAATGTGGCGTTGCTGCCCTACCACGTGAGATTCGATTCTATCGTGTGGAGGCAAAAACACATTACATCAGGCATGTGCCAGCTGTGTATCAGAAACAGGTAGGATTCTGACAAACAGGAAGGCGCTCACAAACATGCATGCCATACAACAAGTTACAACAACCATGTTGCCAAATTTCTCCAACACCGCCTGGAAGAACATGCCGATGATGGCCATCATGGCCAGACGTCCGTTCGCAAGCTCTGCTGCGAGTTTGGTTTTCTTGGCCTCTGGGTCGGACGCGGTGAGCACCTTGAATCCGAAGTCACCCGCCGCAGCAGGAGTTCCCGCCGACTGGTCCTGGGACACCTCGCAGAAGGCCATGTAAGCCAAGATTTGTCCCCACCCCGCAGCGGGAACTTTGGAAATCGCCGCCAAGCCGTTGGGCACATCCGCGAACTTCAAGCCTGCGGAAGGGCTCAGATAGCCCGGCAATTTTCCGGTGATTTCCGGAGTGATGTAGCCCATGGTAGCCTTGGTCAAATGCTCAAACTCAAACCCAAGATGGAAAAAGAAAAACATGTTGCATATTATTATATGTTATGACGCTATCATGTTTAAAGCAAAACAAGCAAATGAAAGATACTGCCGAACTTTGAACAAATGGCGAGCATGGAAATTCTTCCGTGCTTCAGCTCCGTCTGGCGACGTCGGGCAAAGTTCTCGGTGCTGCCGTCTGCCGTGAACCCGGCCGGGTCCCAGAATCCGACCGGGGCTTGCACACCGAGCTCATTCTCGAATGCTCGCAAAGGCGAGGCAGTGTAGTTGGCCCAGTCGCCCCAGGCGCTGCCAGTCAAGCCGTCCTGCGCAAGCGCTTGCATATGCATTTGGCCAACGTTACTAGACAAAGCTGCATGCTTGCTTGGAAAGTCTAGCAAGTGTGGTAATCATCTCGATCAGTTCGTATCATGCCAGAAGAACATGGCAAGTACGATCCCTCGCAGGCTATGCAAGAATCAATCACAGTCTGTCCCGTCTCCGGTATGGTACTATGCCTACCAGCACAGCTACTACGCTCATTAACACATGCACACCAGCGCGATCGCTGCTTGGTTACACGATGCTCTACATTGCATTCACCTGGGAAGAAAACGATTGCTTTCCTGTTTGTGGATTTGAGATCAAAGTTTCAACCAGTGTACATCTGCCAAAGTAATGCAGTTGCGCTTGCTCAAACCAACCACTTGTATTGAGTTGGCCGGCATCTGGCTGACAGTGCATTATCACACGTGTTTGATGGCGTGGGTTTATTGCAGCGGATAACGACTTGTGGCTGACGCCGGGATATAGATATTGCAAAGCGCAACGGCACCACTTTTTCAACAGTGACGCGATGTTGCCGTTGACAGTTCTTGTTCCCCTCAGCAGTTGCAGCGATTCTGCCTGGTTATCCTTTCTCTTTCTAAAAGACGATTGTGGCGTTGCTGCCCTACCACCTGAGATAAGATTCTATCGTGTGGAGGCAAAAACACATTACATCAGGCATGTGCCAGCTGTGTATCAGAAACAGGTAGGATTCTGACAAACAGGAAGGCGCTCACAAACATGCATGCCATACAACAAGTTACAACAACCATGTTGCCAAATTTCTCCAACACCGCCTGGAAGAACATGCCGATGATGGCCATCATGGCCAGACGTCCGTTCGCAAGCTCTGCTGCGAGTTTGGTTTTCTTGGCCTCTGGGTCGGACGCGGTGAGCACCTTGAATCCGAAGTCACCCGCCGCAGCAGGAGTTCCCGCCGACTGGTCCTGGGACACCTCGCAGAAGGCCATGTAAGCCAAGATTTGTCCCCACCCCGCAGCGGGAACTTTGGAAATCGCCGCCAAGCCGTTGGGCACATCCGCGAACTTCAAGCCTGCGGAAGGGCTCAGATAGCCCGGCAATTTTCCGGTGATTTCCGGAGTGATGTAGCCCATGGTAGCCTTGGTCAAATGCTCAAACTCAAACCCAAGATGGAAAAAAGAAAAACATGTTGCATATTAATATATGTTATGACGCTATCATGTTTAAAGCAAAACAAGCAAATGAAAGATACTGCCGAACTTTGAACAAATGGCGAGCATGGAAATTCTTCCGTGCTTCAGCTCCGTCTGGCGACGTCGGGCAAAGTTCTCGGTGCTGCCGTCTGCCGTGAACCCGGCCGGGTCCCAGAATCCGACCGGGGCTTGCACACCGAGCTCATTCTCGAATGCTCGCAAAGGCGAGGCAGTGTAGTTGGCCCAGTCGCCCCAGGCGCTGCCAGTCAAGCCGTCCTGCGCAAGCGCTTGCATATGCATTTGGCCAACGTTACTAGACAAAGCTGCACGCTTGCTTGGAAAGTCTAGCAAGTGTGGTAATCATCCCGATCAGTTCGTATCATGCCAGAAGAACATGGCAAGTACGATCCCTCGCAAGCTATGCAAGAATCAATCACAGTCTGTCCCGTCTCCGGTATGGTACTATGCCTACCAGCACAGCTACTACACTCATTAACACATGCACATGAGCGCGATCGCTGCTTGAATGCCGGGAACTAACCATATATTACATAATACTCTACATTGCATTGACCTGGGATGAAAGCGACTGCTTTCCTGCTTGATGATTTGAGATAACTTTCAACTTGTGTACGTCTCTCAAAGCAATGCATACGCGAGTGCGCACGTGTTGCACCTGCTTAAACCAACCACTTGCACTGAGCGGGCCAGCACCTAGCTGACAGCGCATTATCACGCGTGCTTCATGGCATTGTGGCTGACGCCGGGATATAGATATTGCAAAGCGCAACTGCACCTCTTCTTCAACAGTAACACGATGTTGCCGTTCCTCTCTTTCTAAAAGACGAATGTGGCGTTGCTGCCCTACCACGTGAGATTCGACTCAATCGTGTGAGAACAAAAAAAACATTACAGCAGGCATGTGCCCGCTGTGTATCAGAAACAGGTAGGATTCTGAGAAACAGGAAGGCGCTCACAAACATGCATGCCATACAACAAGTTACAACAACCATGTTGCCAAATTTCTCCAACACCGCCTGGAAGAACATGCCGATGATGGCCATCATGGCCAGACGTCCGTTCGCAAGCTCTGCTGCGAGTTTGGTTTTCTTGGCCTCTGGGTCGGACGCGGTGAGCACCTTGAATCCGAAGTCACCCGCCGCAGCAGGAGTTCCCGCCGACTGGTCCTGGGACACCTCGCAGAAGGCCATGTAAGCCAAGATTTGTCCCCACCCCGCAGCGGGAACTTTGGAAATCGCCGCCAAGCCGTTGGGCACATCCGCGAACTTCAAGCCTGCGGAAGGGCTCAGATAGCCCGGCAATTTTCCGGTGATTTCCGGAGTGATGTAGCCCATGGTAGCCTTGGTCAAATGCTCAAGCTCAAACCCAAGATGGAAAAAAGAAAAACATGTTGCATATTATTATATGTTGTGACGCTATCATGATTGAAGCAAAAAAACAAATGAAAGATACTGCCGAACTTTGAACAAATGGCGAGCATGGAAATTCGTCCGTGCTTCAGCTCCGTCTGGCGACGTCGGGCAAAGTTCTCGGTGCTGCCGTCTGCCGTGAACCCGGCCGGGTCCCAGAATCCGACCGGGGCTTGCACACCGAGCTCATTCTCGAATGCTCGCAAAGGCGAGGCAGTGTAGTTGGCCCAGTCGCCCCAGGCGCTGCCAGTCAAGCCGTCCTGCGCAAGCGCTTGCATATGCATTTTGCCAACGTTACTAGACAAAGCTGCATGCTTGCTTGGAAAGTCTAGCAAGTGTGGTAATCATCCCGATCAGTTCGTATCATGCCAGAAGAACATGGCAAGTACGATCCCTCGCAGGCTATGCAAGAATCAATCACAGTCTGTCACCCGTCTCCAGTATGGTACTATGACCTACCAGCACAGCTACTACGCTCATTAACACATGCACACCAGCGCGATCGCTGCTTGAATGCAGGGAACTAACCACGTGTTACACGATTCTCTACATTGCATTCACCTGGGAAGAAAACGATTGCTTTCCTGCTTGTGGACTTGAGAAAGTTTCAACCAGTGTACATCTGCCAAAGTAATGCAGTTGCGCTTGCTCAAACCAACCACTTGTATTGAGTTGGCCGGCATCTGGCTGACAGTGCATTGTCACACGTGTTTGATGGCGTGGGTGTATTGCAGCGGCTAACGACTTGTGGCTGACGCCGGGATATAGATATTGCAAAGCGCAACGGCACCACTTTTTCAACAGTGACGCGATGTTGCCGTTGACAGTTCTTGTTCCCCTCAGCAGTTGCAGCGGTTCTGCCTGGTTATCCTTTCTCTTTCTAAAAGACGATTGTGGCGTTGCTGCCCTACCACCTGAGATAAGATTCTATCGTGTGGAGGCAAAAACACATTACATCAGGTAGTGGCCGCTGTGTATCAGAAACAGGGGATTCTGACAAACAGGAAGGCGCTCACAAACATGCATGCCATACAACAAGTTACAACAACCATGTTGCCAAATTTCTCCAACACCGCCTGGAAGAACATGCCGATGATGGCCATCATGGCCAGACGTCCGTTCGCAAGCTCTGCTGCGAGTTTGGTTTTCTTGGCCTCTGGGTCGGACGCGGTGAGCACCTTGAATCCGAAGTCACCCGCCGCAGCAGGAGTTCCCGCCGACTGGTCCTGGGACACCTCGCAGAAGGCCATGTAAGCCAAGATTTGTCCCCACCCCGCAGCGGGAACTTTGGAAATCGCCGCCAAGCCGTTGGGCACATCCGCGAACTTCAAGCCTGCGGAAGGGCTCAGATAGCCCGGCAATTTTCCGGTGATCTCCGGAGTGATGTAGCCCATGGTAGCCTTGGTCAAATGCCCAAACTCAAACCCAAGATTATAAAAAAAAAAAAAACATGTTGTATATTCATATATATATATATATGGTACCCCCCCAGTACCCAGGTGTTGTTGCATCATGTATCAAAACCATTGATATTTACAATGTATTTTGATTGAACTCATGCATTTTCTGCAAGGCCATTTTGTGTACCAAAAAACCAAAACACCAAAAAACAAAAAACAAAAAACAATCCTAGCCCCCACCATGGCTGGGATTCTTTGGTTTTTTGGTTTTTTTGTCCAGGGAAATGTTGCGCAACAAATTCCAAATGTTGCGCAACATTTGCGTTTCACGTCTATATCCTAACCATAAGAAAGGGAAAGGAAAGGCATAGGAAAGACATACAACCGCTTCATTCCTCATCTTTTCGTCATAGCGGTTAACCTTTCCCATTCATCTCTTTCTCTTGGTTACTTCCGTCTCCTATCTACATCTCATCCCTCACCGTCTATAACCAAGAATTCTTGACAGCGAGGAAACAGGAAAGAGAAAGAGATTGCCTACCAATGAAGATTCCTCGCTCACTGTCACTTCATCTTTTCCTACCTCTTGGCGCATCCCTTCGCCAATCCATTAAATCCCATCTGATGTTCCTTGTCACCTCATTCCTCATCTCTTCGTCATAGCCTTTAACCTTTCCTTTTCCTTTCGTACACCATCAATCTCAGAGATGAACCGCTACTACAGAAAGGCTCATCACATCCCATTATCTCCATTCTATTCACTGTAATCTCCAAGATCCTAGAGCACGAGGTAAAAGGAAAATAGCTGTCTACCGAAAGATTCATCCAGAAGCCGATAAAGGGTTTGTGGTCAACAATCAAAAATCAAGTCCTTCTTTCTTCCCGTTAACTATTTCATCTTTCTTCCCGTTAATATCCTCTGGTCCGATCTTGTACTGCATACCATCTCATCCTTAAGCAACAGAAAGGAAAGGGACAGATGGGAGATGAAGGTGGGATTTCTCTTTAGGTCCCATTCAGCATCTGGGATTTGTTGACAGGCGAGAAGTCCAGGACATGGAAAGAGATGTACCTTCGTTCGTCATCCTCATGTTCCTTCGTCCATGATATTCCTCTCTTCATCTGTCGCTTCTTGGATGATTTCTTCCTTGGCAGTCATTCTTGGTTATAGACGGTTATCTGTAAAATCCTTGACATCTTAACCCTTCCTCACCTCCAACGACCAGGCGGTGGAAAGGAAGGACAAGTGAGTGAGATGTAAGCGAATGAACGGTGGAAGGGAATGAATCTCTTCTCTCTCCCATTCCCACTCCTCTCTTCGTTCGGGAGTGTCCATGAGATGAAGGAAGAGGAATTCACTTGTAACCGCTGGAAAGAACTGGCCAGCGGATGGTAAAGATAAATAATAAAAAGATAAAGAAATAGCAGTAAATAATAAAAGATAAAGAAATAGTACTAAAACATAAAGACTAGAAAGATAAATAACCATAAGATTTCTATAAAATGCCAATAACAAATCCGTTTGTATCTGAGGTAAAAGGAAAGAGATACTGGCAAACAGGAGATTTATCCGTGAGACAGCTATCTTCATAATGTCCTTTCCTCTCTCTCTCTCTCCGTTCCATCGTGAGTCTTTCATAGTGACAGGAACTCCAGAAATTGAATGGAGTGAGATGATGGAGTGAGAGGGAACGGTTAGAGGAAGGAATGGGCTCGCTCTTCATCATGTGTGCTCACCCATTGACAAGTTACCGCGAGCGAAGGCAGCGGGGAAATGGGTGAGTGAGGAAGGACATGCTTCTCTCGTCCACTCACCAATGAAGGTTGACCGTGTACTCGCGAATCATTCTCTGAGTTCAACCGCCAGTCAAGGAAGGTCCAACATTCCCATTTCCTTCTTTCCTGCTCTTGGGATTACACCGCCAGGCGAAGATACCAAGGAAGGGAAAGATATGGAAAGGACTTGGAAATAAAGGCACATTTCCTCCTTTCCCATCCTCGTCTTTCCTGTTGACGATGTAACCATCATATTTCTATCTCTTTATCATGTGTCTTTGCCTTTCTCTTTCCATTTCCCTCGAATTCCCTTTATCTGTGTCTTGGGAATTAGAAAGAGAGGGAAATGATAGGACAAGAGAAACAGGAAAAGATGATGACCAAGAAGAAAGAGAATCCAGAAGTCATTCCTTTCCCATTCATCTCTTTCTCTTGGTTACTTCCGTCTCCTATCTACATCTCATCCCTCACCGTCTATAACCAAGAATTCTTGACCATTGACTGCCAGCCCTCTCTTCATCCCTTTCCCTTCATCATCCCCAGCCAAGAAACGGCTGTTAGGGATGGAAGGGTCTGAAAGGGACGTACGAAGGCTGTGTCCAAGCCCAAACCTGGGTACCTGGGGGGGGGGGGGTAGCATATATACATATATACATATATGTCATGATGCTATCATGTTTGAAGCAAAACAAGCAAATGAAAGATAATGCCGAAATTTGAACAAGTGACGAGCATGGAAATTCGCCCGTGCTTCAGCTCCGTCTGGCGACGTCGAGCAAAGTTCTCGGTGCTGCCATCTGCCGTGAACCCGGCCGGGTCCCAGAATCCGACCGGGGCTTGCACGCCGAGCTCATTCTCAAAGGCAGTCAAGGCCACCTCGACTTCTATGCGTTTTCAGTTTGCATGCCACGGCTTGCTTGCTTGCTTTTCCCCCAGCTCTCAGGCCAATAAGGAGCGCACCAGCTGATGCTTGGCAGATGTGGTAATGGCCTCGGACACAGCAGGTCTACTCAAAAAAGTTGGAAGGTAGGAAGGTAGGAAGGTAGGATGGCAGGAAGGCAGGAAGGCAGGAAGGTAGGGACGGCGGGGGAGAGATAGAGCGGGAAAGGAAAGAAAAAGAGAAAATTAGAAGAAAAAAAAGAAAGAAACAGAGGAAAAGAAAGAGAAGGAAAAACAAAGAGAAAGAAGAAGAGAAAGATAATGCGAAAGCGAAAGCGAAAGAGAAAGAGAAAACAAAGAGAAAGGCAAAAGAGAAAGCGAAAGAAAATGCGAAAAAAGAGATTGGAAAAGACGGACAAAAAGAAAGTTGAAGCGAACGCGAAAGCGAAAGAGAAACAGAAAGCGAAAGCGGAAAGCGAAAACGAGAAAGAGAAAGAGCAAAATAATGAGAAAAGAAAAAGAGAACAGCGAAAGAAAAATAGAAAAAGAAAGAAAAGAGAACGAGAAAAAGAAAGAGAAAAGACACAGCTAGAAAGAAAGAGAAAGAACATAAAAAGAGAAATCGAAAGCGGGAGCGAAAGAGAAAGAGAAAAAGAAAGAGAAAGCGAAAGAGAAAGCGAATGCGAAAAAGAGAGAGGCGGAAGAGAAAGAAAAAGCGAAAGCGAAAAACCTAAAAGAGAAAGAGAAAGAGCAATCCAAACACAAACCCCAAGAGCCAACCTTCAACCCACCCTGAACCCACCGTGAACGTGAACACATCCTAACCAATCTGAATCTCATCTACATGTGCCCTCACCTTTAAGCCACCCTAAATCCGCGCTAACCCCGACCTGCAACCCACAGCCCGATGACGATGCTAAGGGAAGGTTCCTTTCGCTTTGGCTTTCGCTATCTCTTTGTCTTTCTCTCTTCTCTTTCTTTTGGTTTCAGGTTGGGGTTGGCATGGCAATGTAGTTTCATGTAGTGCAGTGTGCGTGTGTGTGTGTGTAATACATACAAATACACACTCATATACACATGCATACACATACAAATGCACATCTACATGCACATCTGCATGTACACATGCATATACCAAACAACATATGTGTATGTATGTGTATACATTATATATAATCATACAATCATACATTTATGCATATATGCTCATGCACATACACATACACATACAAGCAAACACGCATAATACACAAATACGCGCCATGGTGTTGCAGGTCGTAGAAATCGCGGAGACTCTAAGACTCCGCGCCCTGCGGCCAAAGCAGCCCGCAACTGCTACGCCGGCGACGGCCAGGCCCGCGACACTGCTCGCCTGGCTCGCGCTGATCGGATTTTGGCTGCGGTCAACAAGCAGAATTGGGGGGGGAATGTGAGTGTGTGTGTGTGCGCGCCTGTTTTTGTGTTCTTTCTTTTTCTTTTTTTAGAGGCTCGGCACATACCCATTGCCAGGTTGTGTTGCCAGGGACTGCAAAAAAAAAAAAACACACAGACCCAGATCTGCTTGCTCCTGCAATACAACACACTCGTGGGGCCTCCAGTCCGGACACGGGAGCCGAAGGAGTTGCGACAGAGGCGGTGGCCTCGGCGAATCCAAGGCTGCGAGGACCGGCAATGAAGTCGATTCGAGCGCAGAACACGATGCATCAAAAGGTCCGTTTTGACATGAGAGAACCATATATGTATATGTACACATACGGGAAATGTTACCATAACCATAGTCGTTTATATGTGTATATTTTGTATATATGGAAAAATTACCATAGTCGTTTGGGGGGCGAAGGGAATATGGATCAACCCCCAATTCGACCATTGACACGGAGCTGGGAGACCGACTCGCAGGTTCCCCGTGCGTGTAGTAGGCGCAGAGACAAAAGCGGCTCCGCCCAGAAGTGCGGCGCCTGACTTGAAGAACTCTGCAGCCGAACCGGACCTCCCATGTGAGCCACAGTCAAAACCCGGTATTAAATGGTGAACCCAGAACCATGTAAAGAATTACGCAGGAGGCCGCAGCTGTTTATGGCGAGGATTGGCCCTTGCGAACCTTCATCTACCCTTTTGATTGTGGCTCATGTGCTACGCACCAGTACCTTCACGGGTGAAAGTAGATGGCACAACTCCCTACTCGCTTGCCCATGGGACCTGGAAACAAAAGGTGATCACCTTCTGGGATGCGTACTAGAAGTGGACCAAAAAAGGGAAAACCCAAAGGTTAAAAGGTCAGTTTTGGGCAACTGAGTATAAATATATATATATACACATATCGTGCCTTCATGCTGCACCGTTTCCGGCACTTAGGCGCTTGGGAGGACACAACGGTAGCACTGTTCTCAATACTGCACTGCTGGCAGCACGAATCACAAGATCGCACAGTTTGCTAGGACTCCTGAAAACATGTCCGCTGTTGCCTGCAGCAGATGCAACAGCGGCTCGCGATGAGGAGGCCATCCTTGGCAACAAACAAGTGCCAAGCACTCACAGAAGCTCGATGCCCGCTCTGAGATCGCTCGGCCCTCTGAGCACTTAGTTACTTTACCGGGCTGCCCTCAGATCCCCCGCTAAAAGTTTAACTTTTAGTTGGCTTAATTGGAAACTACCACTAAACACCAAAAGGCTAAAAAGCTAAGGGGATGGCTGGGAGCCACCAAGTTTACACTGATTGGGAGACCCTAAATAATTCCGAACAAGCCGAGCTCTAGCTCTGACCAATGGGGTCAAACACACGTGTTCCAACAAATGGGCTCTTTTGGGATGCCACATACATGATCGTCTTTCGGTGAAAGCGATCGGGACCCGTTTTTTAATTTATTCTTAGAACCCGTCAAACGGGCATGAACTCAGGCCAAGCGTCGTCAAAAAGTTGGCAGGAAAATAAAAAGTTAAAACGAGGCGAAGATCTACACAATCTGTACACAGCACGCCCTTCTCTGAGCCGAGAAGTGGAAGTGTTGCCACGCATCTCTGACCGGGGCCTTTGGGCAACTGCCCCCTAAACTCGCAAAGAGAATCCCTTGAAATGCTCACTTTGATGGACCCCTTTCTGAAGCTGTGCGCTTGTGTCCGCAAGTGCAAGGATCGCCGTTGCTTGCAGATTGCTACGAGACGCACGCGCTCCTTTTCCGCCAGGGACTTGTCAGCAGCAACCAATTTCCCCCTGCCAATCGTTCACAGCAGAGTCACGAAGTAGGTCTGGGATTCCGAGTCGAAACTCACTTCATCTTGAAGCCAAGATGGTTCACTGCCATAGGTTCTTGTTTGTTTTTTGACTGGCCAGCCTGCGGAACCTAATGAAGAAGTCTTTGAGGCAATGTCTCATCATCTTCCTGAAAACAACATATGTGCAAAGCCGCCCCTTCAAGATACTGATACTGGCTCTCTTTGCCCATGACGCGACGCAACCCCTGACGAGCTCGATCCCCTTTGCGCCGGTGACTGTGGGCTCCTCAATTGGCAGCACACTGGTTGCCAGATGATTCGCTCAGCTGTTCAACAGACGTGGAGAGGAAAGCTCTTTACAGTCTGGATTTGAAAAAGCCTTTGAGATCTTTCCTCAACTTGAAAGCAGCGATGTGTGGCGACCCAGTCTGAAACTGTAGGGAAGTCCTATGTCTTGCATGCCTTGAAAGATCAACCTGACGGGATTCGCCTTTTGGCTTTCCCGAACCGGGGTGAAACTTCCAGACGCGCAGCCTCCTTTCGAAGATCAAAGCACATGCCAAGGGTTTCTCGTTTGGGAAACAGGGGCCCGAAAGGAAGTATTGAAACCCTCAAAGAGGTAAATCGCGTCATTTCCCTCCAGGCGTATAAAAAGGCAAACCCTGAGAACCCACAGATTTCTCCGAATGCCACTCCAGCACCGGGAAGGTATGAGTTTTAATGCCTCCAAATAAACAAGCCGGTGCTATGCATAGGAGGGTGGGGTTCTGTCCACCAACCTTCCCGCAAAGAACGTCAGCACAACGCAGGCTGCCCGGCACTCACGAAACGTGCGCTCAGAAGACCACTTGCTGCACGCCTCACGGTGGCGTGGGCATGGTGAAGCAACGGGAATACGAATACTGCGGATGCACAAAATGCATAAGTTGATAGGTGTAGCTTGTCCCAGTTTCCGTAGGGCGTTGTCCATCCCAACCGGCGCGGTGAGGAATTTGTCCATCCATGGTATTATATTGTATATATATATAATATGTGCATAGGCGTGTGTTAAAGCAGTCGGACCGCTAAAATGGAGTTTGTCTTTTGGCTTTCCTTTAAACTAACCTAAATACTCCCCCACGAATTAACATGAAAACCAAAAACGGGGGTCCCCAAAACCCAAAAGGGGGGTCCCCAAAGGAGTTTCCTCAACAAATGATGGTTTGTTGGGTTCAATTGCTGATAGAGTAACCCTATAGCTATGACTAAATCGGGCTTACCAAATCCATATTCGTGTTTTGGCCCTTCCCTGCGTGTCTTTCCTTTCGGGGGTGTTTTCCTTAGGCCTCAGTTGAAAAAAACCACCCCGAGGCCCCGAGAAGGAAAAGCGTAGCCCAAACAAACTTACACCAACAACTCCCGGGAGAACACCGAGGGCAACATGCTGATCCCCGCATGTTCAATCCCGAGACACGCAGGGCTGGGAACAGTTTCTGAACTCCTGCACTTGAGGTTCATGGCCATAGTTCCCATTGGAATCACGACACCGGGTTTTGGATCCTTACCAGATGGGCATCCATTCCTCTTAACCAAGCAAGGGAACCGGTCAAGAAGACCATGGCATATATGGGCTTGTGGTTTTTTGAGGCTACCCTTTGTTTGATGGTTCTAACGGGAAAGCAACAATCAAAGGTTGTTGTTGCTTGTTTTGTTTGGGGGGAAATTTCCCCTTGAAAACGAGCCACCCACTCACTTCCTGAGTGGATTGCCTAAAATGGTCCAAACCCAAAAGTGGATTGCGTCCAACTCTGGAAGTGAGCCACGTCTGCTTCCTGTTCTGCGACCCCAGTCCCTTTTCCCAGTCTCGGGAGACCCCGCGCGGCTGCGGCATCGGCGCGGCGGCTCCGGCGCGGGAGCTCGGCTCGGCACGCCACCACCTGGCGAATCGGATGGGAATCCAACAAGCGTCCGAGTACGCCCTGGGAATCACCCGAATGTTGACCCAGGATTAGTAAACCCGTCCCATTATTAGGGGGTGTTCCTACCAAAAGTGATGAACCCCCACACTAAAAGGGGACACCCCCTATCAACAAACCAGGGGTTTATTAATCCGGGTTAACAGTAGCCTATGTCCAGATAAGCCATGGTGATTTGGCTTTACCTGGGAGATTTTTTGGGCGGCATGGGTGTTATATTGGGTACATCGGAACTCGACATTGGGATGGTCTCGGAACGTACTCCCCTGACACAGAACCCAAAAGGGCGCGGTGCCCAAGAAGACAAATGGAAAGGGCTTTGGGTTGCCCAGGGGAGTGAGTAGATATGCTTAGGATGGTTTTGACAAGGAATTTCCTAGAGCCTGCATATAAAGCATCCAACTTTCTGTGTGGAAACACTCCGCGAGACCCCAATCTCCGGGGGATTGGTTCCCCCTCTGAGTAGGTCAAAGGGAAACAACCCCAGGCTTCCCGTTTTTTGTTGGGGGAAACACCTCACCTCCTGAGCGGGTTGTCAAAACAAATGTCCGATCTGGTATGTTTTGCCGCTAACATTGGCGCGCTCCAAGTGCCCCTTAAAAATCCCAAAGGTGATGCTACGCGCCGAAAAGGGAAGCAACCTATTCGTGATTCCGGTCCGCTTGATTCCCTCGCAAATGAACCAGCCACATACCTCTCCCCAAACAAAAGAAAGAAGGAAAGAACGAAAAAACGCCACAAAAGACACCCTCCCCCCCCCTGGTGAATTTGGGGGGGGGGGGCGGTTTCTTTCTCGTGGTTCCCTCTGTTTTTTGCTCTGGAGCCGTCGGCTACGGAGAGAAACTTCCGGCCTCTCCAGCTCGTGGCGCTCCAGGTAGACGCTGGGCATCTCCACCAGCTCGCAACTCGGAGCTCCGAGTGTGGGGGGGAGGGAGGGTGAGGGGAGGGTGGGGGTAGGGAAGGTGGGCTTAGGAGGTTGGAGGGTTGGGGGGGTTGGGGGGGGGAAGTTTGATGTGGTGTTGGTGTTTGCAGCTGGTTTGGGGAAGGGGGGGGACATGAGAAGTTGCGTGGTCGGTTTGTTTGGCTTTCTGCTGCTTTTGCTTTTTGCCTTTTTTGGGGGGGGCTGGGAGTTGGGAGTTGCGGTTGGTAATTCTTGGTGTGCGGGACTGGGCTTGCCGGTACCTCGCAGCGAAGCAAATCCGAAAGATCACACAAAGGTACAAAGGTGCACGCGCCCGAGGAACAAGAATAAGCACACAAGGGGCGACTTCATCTCCAACTGAAAGCAAGTGGCACTTTGTAGTGTGCAGTGCCAACCGAACGGTACAACAACTACCATGTCTTTTTTTTCTGGCGTACTGCGGGGCTCGCTCCCGTCAGGGACATGCTCTCCAGGGCGTACTTTGGCTTCTTGCGGACAGTACAGCCAGGCGTTTCTTCCGTAGGGCCGCCGGCAAGAAAATACTCTAAGGCAAGAAACTGGTGCTTCACAAAGTCTTCAAAAGCCTGAACGCCAGACACCACACGAGGCGGGCCGTTTGCGTCCCGGAAGGACGACGCCACATTAAGACGCGCAAACAACCACGTCTGGATCGGCTCCCAGGGTGGGCGAAATCAAGCAGCCAAGTAGTAGAGAACCAATTCCCGCTCATACGCGATCCGTCCAACCAAAAGGCAGCCAAACGAAGTGGGTTTTCTGGTTGTTGAGATGCGGGTGATGTGGGGTTCTCAAAATAGTCCCCTGGCTTCCTTTTGGTTCCCCGTTAAATGCCAGCCAAAAAGGAAAACACAACAACCGCCCAGCCCCTGTTTCGCGCCCCGTGCCCAGCCGGATGTCCCCTAAGGCACCCGCTCGGAGTCACGTGCGATGTACATGTTGCGGCGATCGAACCAATCAAACCTCGCTCGGCGAGTTGGAGCGGAATGCGCTTGTGAAGGGCCCCCCCCCCCCGCGAACGAACAAAATGGTCTTGAGCCGAGCACTTCCCTTTTGCACTCCTTCCTTGGAGTTCGAAAATAGGTTCAACTGATATGCCCAGGCGGCGTTGACAAGATTAGCCCCCGGCTGGTTTCATCCGAGAAATCTTTAAAAAAAAATGACCTAGGTTGAGTGCTTGATCAACCGGCCGAACAGTTTTCAGATGGCGACCCCTCGAACCAGGCCGCTTTGCAGCCGGGAAGTTGATGGAGCATGGTTGTCTTGATTTGTGGCGTCCTTAATGCTGATGTGAAATCAACCAAAGGGTTAATGACAATCCCTGCACTGCCCACCCCAAGTAAAAGGGGTCCCTTTTGACCATGGTATGGGTATGAATCTTGCACTGTGGACCCTTTGGCGGACACCATCTACGTGAAAATGCATCATGGAATTTTATTCAAAACATGCCTGCCTCAGTCCTTAAAAAAAGGACTGAGCGCGAAGGAACTTGCTCTGCCCAGCAAAGTCTGGCATAAGCCTCTTTTTGCCATTTGAACATCACCCTGCAAGGAAACTCGCAGGAAGTTGGCCCAAAAAGGCCATAGCTTCAAGCCACAGAACCATGCGATCAGATCGGAGCATTTTCCAGCCCTGCAAAGTGGGACCATGTCTCTACTGCGCGGCTTGCCCTTTGAAGGTGCGGTCGTTTCTTTCCAAGCGCCAGCAACATCTGCCACCCTGAACCTATGGCCTGCGGGCGGGAAGGGGAGGCATGGAATGAGAGCAAATCACCGGTCGGAGGACCGCTCAAACCGAGGGATCCATTCCCAGCTTTCTGGATCTTAGGTGAAAGATCCTATTCCCTTTCTGTGGGTACTTAAAGGAGGTGACAAACCAAACTGCAGGAAATGCGCCAGCTCCCACCCAGCTGTGAAATCTCCTTCGATTCGAGAAACGCGGGCGAAAGCGATTTGACGACCGCAACGCGCATCAGGCCCCGGCGTGTGTTGGGAGATCGTCTTGTTGCGATCGCACCTCAAAGCGCCGGCTGCGAACATCGGTTCGTAAAGGCACTGGAATCGGGGGGCGGGGGGTGGGGGGGGGAGGGAGGATTGGACTGCTACACGTGCAAATGGGCCTCCTTTTTTGATCATGGCCGTTGTCTTAAAACAAATCGGTGAAAAGAGAAATGTGATGCCTCCCATGCCCTACGCATTTCCTCACCATGTGCGTCAATTGAATTGTTCACAAAATGGCAATGGTTTGGAACTAATGTAGTACCGTGGCGGGCGTCAAGAAGTGGATCCAATGTCGCCCGTCGTGCTTAAGTCGTCCTCTTTTGAGGAGAACGGACACCCTCATCGCAATGGGAAAAAACAAACCGCTGTGTATGTGTACACACGCACACATGTGTGGTAAAAACACTGGCGGCGCCCACATGCTCGGCGTCTTGTCAAGGACCAGGAAGGCCCAGCTCAAATGGTTTCCTTCGGAAGGGAAATGGTCGATCTAGCGCTGGAACGCATGGGGCCAAAAACTGAAAGATCGCCCATCCCCTTGCGGGAAATCAAGCAACTTGAGGGTGAAACACGTCGAGGGGTTTCGAACAGAATGCCCTTGATTTTCCCTTTTGAGCGGGGGCGCAAAATGGTCCAAGACAAAGCATCCCCCTTTTTGAGCCAAAGTTTGCCACCTGGTTTCCGAATCCCGAATCGTGGATCCTGTTTGAAGAGTTGACCATCCCACCTGCTTTTCCTTCAAAATCAACAAACTTCAGGGATTCGTTGCTTGAAAAACGAAAGAAATATAAAAAAAAAAAAAGGAAGGGAGTCCTGTCTCCCCCCCCCCCGCGCAACCAATGGCTGCTGGGGCCCCCGGCTTCGAAAAGGGCCAAGGGACTCGGAGGTTGTCGAAGTCGAACCACTGCTCCGGGGGAAGCGCCTCAAGCGCTCGGAAGGCGCGGAAGCCGAGCAGGGCTTGCCGCGTCAAGCCCCCTGTAAAGGGCTCGTTGATCAAAGATCCACAGGAAGGGTGGTGCCCCCAAAAGCGATCCTGAAGGTGGGGATGTGTGCTTTTTGCAGGGAACACTTGGGGGTTGGCTTCCGTGGTGGGCACATGTTCAGATCACCAAGTCCTGATGTGCAATCCGTCCAAAGACCAACCAGTTGAACAACTACTAACGCCCACCCTTCCAAGAGGAAACTCGGCAGCTGGCCCATGCGCCGGCCCTTTCGCGGCCGGCCGGGGGCAGACCCCGGATCTAAGTAACAAACTGGATCATTAGGAAGGGTGTTGTCCCCAAAAGCGGACAAAAGCGATCCTTACTGTGGGTGTGTGCTTTTTGATGGTAACACTTGGGAATTTGGTGTAGGTTCAAGATGGTTCAAGGCTGATCTCATGTTGGATTCCCGTGGATTCCGGATTGATTTCTGGCTTTCGGGTTGCGGGAGGGTTGCAAGTAGGCTGCTTTCGTTGATTTAGCTTTGGCCTGAGCAAACCGGACCGGACCGATCGACCGAGTTTCAGGGTATCCCCCCGCTTCCAGGCTTCCACTCGAAGGTTTTTGGCCTTACCCCGTATTGCCCTGGAAGTTATGAAACCCTGTGATTTGCCCCACACTTTGACTACTTGGATGTCCAAACCACTTGGTACAAAGATTGGTCATAACCATGGTTGCTGGGGTAACCGGGGTTAGTCCCCTTATGACCCATGGTCATAACTGTCATAACCTGCTTAATTATAACCTACTTCAGTGGCTTTTAACCCAAGTACCACCATCAAAAGGTTCCCGGCGCTTTAAAGTGCTCAGTGCAGCGACCGGCCTCGCGAGCGGGCGCTGCTCGACTGCTCGGGCCCCCCGGCCGAGCCGCGGATGTGATACCTGTGCCGTCCCGGGCTCCGGACCCGTCCCGATGTCCCGACGTCCCCAGCCGAGCCCAAAGGGTCGGATATCCGCCAGGAGCCCCTTAATGTCAGGAGACGATTAGTAGACCCCCCCCCCGAGTAAAGGTTTCCCCTTTTCCCCCCCAGGTTCTCACCAATATTGAAGTAAAGGGCCAACAAGGTTTCCCCAAAAAGTTGTCACCATTATGGAGCGATTCCTTGCTTCACCCCTTCTAACATGTCACGTGGGGGTCCCTAGAGGAAACCCATGTTCAGGCAGCCAGCTGCTATGTCAGCGGGAGGGAACCTCATTTTTGCGTGAAGGAGTCATTTAGGGGACCCTCCAGTGGAGGTCAAAGATGGCGATCACGGGCCCGAAAGGATCCCAGAGCTTTTTTGACACGCCCCATCCATGTCCCGATGGGAAGAACATGGCCAGTTCGGGGGCCCCATCTCGGAGTGGCAGCGGGAGGGAAAAGGACGCCTGTTTGCCCCCGCCTATTGGGACATGGAGGGAACCCCTACGGCCTTGAAACCAAATTCTTTCGAGGCGGCCTTGTCAAACAAAGACCGAAGTGCACAGCTCTCTCTTCTAAAAGATGTATGGTAGCAAGCAGCTTTGCAGGTCCCAACCCAAAATGGACAGAACAAAACAAAACAAGACTAAAACTTGAAGCGGTCCTGCCAAAGGGGCCATTTGCAGTTCCATGTGGAGAGAGGAGCTCAGTTGGTGATGGAAACGAGCGAGCGAGACAGAGGCCGAATGGCCGTCTCTTCTCTGTAGCTCGATACCCTTTTGGAAGGAAGGAACCACCAAGCAAAGCCAGGGTCAAAGTGGACAACAGCAATTCCTACCGGGGGGTGGGGGGGGGGAATCAAGGCTTGTTTGATCCCTTGCTAAAAGTTCATAAAGCTTGATGGAATTGTCGACATGTCAAGCCCTCGGCCCTAAAAGTCCAAGGGCCTGATCGCCGTGCTGCTCTTGGGCACTTCGCTTGACTTGAAAACTCGTGGCCAAGTCCAATGGAGGTCTTTTTGGGTCTGAAATTGAAGTGCACAGGTGCCATATCCAACACAAAAGGCGTCTTCCAAAACGGGTCTGTGGGAGGCTATGAGAACTTCTGGGAGATCAATGAGAGTTTGATTGGTTGGAGCTAGGTGAAGCAAGCCATACCCCAAAAAACAAAGATTCCTCCCCCCCCTCAAAGACACCCACCAAAAAGCAACACTTCCACCGAGCCACTCTTGCATGATCTCCTCTCTGGTCTGGAGATGGCCCCTGCACTGCGCCGATTGATTGGGGTCCCCGAGGTCAGAACGAGTCAAGGTCAGGGATAACTCACTTCCTAAACCTGCTTGCTTGCAAAGTGATGCTGGATTGCCTCTCACTTGCTCCTTTGCTGCGTGTTTTGTGCTAATCCATCACTTGCTGGTCATAAGCCACAGAGCCCTAGCCCCATTTTGTGGTCCTTTCCCGCCAGTCCCCACCAGACCCACTGATGCTCCTTTCCACGAGAGAACTCCAACCGCAGATCTGACTAGAACCTCAGAAGCCCTCCATTTTCTGAGCGGATGGTGCCATAGGTAGGCAATGACTTCCCGGTCCAGGCGTTGGGAATGAACCGGTTTTGGGGACTCCCGAAAAAAGAAACCACCAGTTGGAGAGTTTATGGGGGTCAGTCCAATTCTCATTCCCTGCTGAGAACCAGCGAGTAAAAACCACGAAGAAGCCTACACCCAAAAGCTTTGAAGTTGGGAAGCTGATGGATAAATGGACAACACATGAGGAATGCTGTCTGGACGAATGCCGGCGCTGGCAACAAAGGCTTCCAAGATCGGGGGCAAGCAGGTAGAAGGTTGGTCCGTGACCGAGCAACATTCAGAGAGCAACAACACGGTTCTGCGCCGTCTGTCCATTTTGACCAGCTCTGAAAAACCTTCTCGCCACATTTCCAGGAATGAGGTTCCTTGCTACCGTGCCCCTTTACACATCATCCCGCCAAAGGTGATATTTCAAACCACCTCAAATTTTGAGGCTCAAACTTCTAGACCACCCCAACACGGAAAAGACTTCAGGAAACTCATCTAAACCAACCCCTCCAAGGAGACTTCAGGAAACTCGGAGAACCCCTTGCTCAGAAGTGAGTCAGCTCTGGGCCGCAGCACTTGCATGCGATCAGCTCCTCACCGGAGTACCTACCGGCTGGCTGGCGCGGCCAGTTCCGCCGCATGGGCCCACAGCTGACGGACCCCGGCGAAAAAAGGTATTAGGTTCTCAACCTAAAACCAAATCACCTTTAGACAAAAGCAAAACACGCTGGCCCTCTCTTTCCTCTCCGGGGAGGGGGTATCAAAACTAGGGTTTTCCATTTCAGGACGCACATCTGTTGTGTGACGCCTGTTCAAAAGGGGCAGCAGCCATGTACATGTGGCAGCAGCCGGGCACGGGTCCATGTAGTGCGTCCGGTGGACGCCGCTCCCCAGGTGGTCGGAGCCATCGGCCTCCTCTTGGCAATCTGAGAGACTCCCAAAATGGTTTGTTCTGATTATGTTTCGTATTCTACCAATAGAGCCGGCGAAACCGTTCGGCGGAAACTCCCAAAATCTGGGAGTTGCACTTCACACAAAAATCCAGGGGCTTCCCTGCTAAATGGGGCATAAAACCTCCTCCAAACCAGCGAAATCCATCGTTTTCTCCACCCAAACTCACCGAAGAAGGGCACCTATGGCACTTCACGTTCCCCCTTCTCTTTCTCGTTTCGGGCGGAGCTCCCCCCCGCCCCCGCCCCACCCCCCCCCTGTCCTCGGCACCAGCACCGGAGCCGCCGAAGCCGAGGCCAAGGCCGCCGAGGCCGCCGAAGCCGCCGCCGAAGCCGCCGGAGAGGCCCCGCATGCCCGCCAGCACCATGTCCTCGATCGACTCGCCCAGTGGGCGCGCCCAAAGGCGGCCATGTGGTTTCGGGATGGGGGATGGGGAGGGGGGGGGGGGTTTTGGGGGAAGGGGGGGGGGGGAGTTTTGGGGTAAGGGGGGGGGGAAGGAGTAACTTCGTAATTTTGAGCCTTCCAAAGCAAAAAGACATCCAAGACACCCAGCAACAACCAAACACCCATTGCTGATACAGCGCTTGCTCCAACCCCAAAAATGTGCGCCCTGCGAACCTGGCAGCAGCCGATGCTCCTTTGCGGTCACGTCGCTGGGGGTGGCAAGGCACCACAAATCATCAGAGGACCGAAACCAAACCTCTGGTTTACGTAGGGCTCTGCTGAGCCCCCAGCAAACACCCCAATCACGTCGGGTCCATGTGTGTTGGCATACCTCCAGGATCTATCAAACATCCGACGCCTTTACAAAGGCATGAGCCACAGTCAAAAACACGTCTTGGTTGGCCACGGCTACCTTAAATAGGACCCCTTGCAACGGCTGTCGGGCTTGCTCGCCTCCCTACTAGCCCCCAGCCGGATGTTTTGATGGCCCCGACCGACCAACGCGTCGCACCAGCGCGGCGCCGAGTCTTTCTGAGGCGCCGGGCGCGCTCTGCCTCCTCTCTGATCCTGATGCCACGCAGCGACCGCTTTGGGGAACCGGGGAAGGGCGGGTCTCAGGATTCTAGTGATCCCAAGTTAGACGCAAAAACGCGCAGTGAAGTCATGGAAAGCCTGGTAGAGGTGTGATGGTTTTCTCCTCGAGCTGTGGCTTCTTAGGGCTGGCAACATCCCAGCCTCACTAGGACCTGGGGCTGCCAATAGGAGTGGCTCAAGCGGCTGATTTAACAATTGGGAGTTGCTCAGGGCAGGTTTAATTTCGGGATGATTTTAGGCTGGGTTAGACCTCACTGAGATTTACTGCGGGTGGGCCTTGGGTTGATTTGTGGCTGGCCTTTGGTGAGTTTCGGGTTGGCGAACCCATCGAGTTGTCCAACCAAACTGCAGCTTCCCATTAATTGGTGGTCTGGATTGGTGGTTTGGCGGCCTTAAGGAGGGATTAAGAATCCTGAAGCCACCGGGCTCCAAACCACCAACTGGGGAGTTACCTGAAAAACTTCAGGGGAAAAACACGCCAGAATTTCCCAAAAAAAACTCGTCTAGTGGAACCCCTCGATTCCTCCACTTGCTTAAGTCCCCTGCAAAAAAAACAATATGTCCAGTAGCGATAGATTCCCTAAACCAACAGGGGAAAATAAAAATTCCTCTTAACCAAACGGAAGGATGTCTCCCCACCATAAATCCATCCAAACGGGACACCGACCACACCGCCGGACATCCGAGCCCTCCGCTGCCGCTGCTGCGCCGCGTCCATGGCTTCCAGCAAACGATTCGCCTCGATTAGACGGACGTTTCAGGGCTGCCCCATAGCTTTTGCCGAACTTGGTGGAAACCTCGTGGAACATTACCCCATAGCCCTCGCAGAACAGTGAAAGTGTGCTGAAAACCATTGATTTCGGTTTTGCCTAGTGTTCCGCCCATGAGCGAAGCAATCTTCTGAGCCCTCAATTTTCTGGCTTTTCAGACGGCGGGCGCACGACACATTGCTTCCCTCCAGGGCAAACCGGAACCTTGCAGAACATTTGTGGAACATTTGTGGAACCTTGTGGAACCTTGTGGAACTCTGTGGAACCCTGTGGAACCTTACCTCAGGGCCGCCCCGCAGCCCTTGCAGAACCTCGTGGAACCCTGGTGGCAACCTGGTGGAACCCTGCAACCCTCATGAAACCTCACCTCAAACCCCGCACCACCCGAATCTGGTGGAACCCTGGTGGAACCCTGGAACCCTTGGTGGAACCATGGTCGAACCCTGGTGGAACGCTGGTGGAACCCTGGTGGAACCCTGGTGGAACCTTACCTCAGGCCGCCCCGGACCACCCCGGAACCTATCTTGGCTAAGCTTTCAGCTGTTGAGGCAAAAACAACATGGGGCCCCGGTTGGAAAGAAGAAGCTCGGGCAATATCCCCAACAACACCACGCCCTCCTAGAATCCCCGCGGAACGCCCCGGGACCATCCTTACCGCCGGTGTTGCTGAGGATGCCGCCTTGTAACTTTCTAAAGCAAAGCTACGAGTGACAGCGCAATCTTGCCCTGATTGGGGCCCGAATCGGGGCCCGATCGGGGCCCGACGGCGCAATCGGGCCCGATCGGGGCCCTGACAATCGGGGCCCGATGGGGGCCCGACCGGTGCAATCGGGGCGCCCGATCGTCCCGTGGTGCAACCCCAGCCACCCATATTATAGCTCAACGCCGGTTTTCCTTAGCATGCGGATTACAACTGTATCTATAGCAAAACTAGGCGACGCCAGCTTGGTACAGTTGACGGGGCCCAACTGAGTCGGGCCCCGATCGGGGCGCGGGCCCCGACCTAGGCGTGAACCTCGCAAACCGTTCTCATGCAACTTTCGTGGAGCTCAGCGTGAAACTTTGTTGGAACCTTTCCTCAGGGCTGCCCCATAGCTTTTGCAGAACCTGGCGGCAACCTTGTGGAACGTTTTTTTGAACCTTGCCTCATAGCCCTCGCAGCCTCGTGGAATTCTTGGAACTCAAAGCCCACCAAGCAGCAATGCCAAGCACCGTGAGTCCCGCAGCGACGTGATCTGATTTGCCACAAAGCCAACATTTGCCTGAGCAAGTAAGCAAGTCACAAAACAGTGAAAGTGTGCCAAAAGCCATTGATTTCGGTTTTGCTTAGTGTTCCGCCCAATCTTGATCCGATGGTTTTTCAGACGACGGGCGCACGACACACTGCTTCCCCCAGAGCAAACCACGGAACCTTGCAGAACATCTGGAACCCTTGGCGGAGCCTTGTGGAACCCGTGCGGAATCGTTGCAGAACTTTGTGGAACCCTGTGAAACTTCAGGGCCCACAGCCCTCGCAGAATCTCGTGGAACCCTGAAACCCTCAGAGAACCGTACCTCAAACCACTCCGGACCACCCCGCAGCCCTTGCAGAACCTTGTGGAACCCTGCTAGAACTGTGCTGGAACCTTCATGGAACCTTACCTTGCAAAAACTCTGGTGGAACCCTCATGGAATCTTACCTCAAACCAGCCCGGACCGCTGGTGGAACCCTGGTGGCAACCCTGGTGAGAACGCTGGTGAAACCCTCGTGGCTGGTGAAACTCTGGCAGAACCCTGGTGGAAATCTGGTGAGACGTGGAACAGATGGTGGAACCCTGGCGGGACCCTGGTGGAAATTGGTGGAACCCTGTGGAACCCTTGTGGAACCCTCGTGAAACCTTCCTCAAACCAGCCCGGACCACCCGGTAGCGCTTGAAGAAATTGCTGGAACCCTGGTGGAACCCTCGTGGAACCTCACCTCAAACCACCCCGGACCACCCTGCAGCCCTTGTGCAACCCTCGTGGAACCTTACCTCAAACCACCCGGACCACCCCGCAGCCTGGAACCCTGGTGGAACCCTGGTGGAACCCTCGTGGAACCTTACCTCAAACCACCCCGGACCACCCCGCAGCCCTTGCAGAATGTGGTGGAACCCCGGTGGAAACCTCGCAGATGGTGGAACCCTGGTTGGTGGAACCCTGGTGGAACCCTGGTGGAACCCTGGTGGAACCCTGGTGGAACCCTGGTGGAACCCTGGTGGAACCCTGGTGGAACCTTAGCTCAGGGTCGCCCCGAACCACCCCGGAGCCTATCTGGGCTGAGACCCCAAAGCTTTCAGCTGATGGGGAAAAGCAAAAAAAACACACGCAAGCAACGTAAAGGTTCACCAGATTGAAAACTGCCAATGTGACACCAGGGCCAAACTGCACATGTTTCCCCCATGTAAAACCCAAACAGGCAGCAAGTAGACTACCAATGATTTTGTGAGTGGGTCGTGGTGAACACCCCCAAACACGGGTGCCAAGTCCAAGCAATTACCACCCTAGAAAACTTGGTGACCTTTTGGGAACAAATGGGCTTCCCTCGTAAACGGGGCATAAAACCATCTAAACCAGTGGAACTGTGGAACCCATCTATTTCTATCCAAACTTAAACATCACTTCTTGCGTTGCCGCAAAGGACAAGTACTCCGGGGGGGGGCAAAAAAAAAGAGAGTTCCCATTTGTAAGCAAACCGTGGTTTGGCATTTGACTGGCCCACATAGTTGGCCTGTTGAGGCACGCCAAACTTGACCCAAGCGCCAAGGGTCAGAATATGTTGCTTTTTGTCTTGGTGTTTTGCTTTTTTAGTTCATCGCGATTGCCTGCAACGATTTAAAAGAATTCGGGGGGCACAACATGTCACGCTCAACAAGGTCCTCAGCACATGTGGAACCTCGTTGTGAGGTCACCTCTCAAGTGCGCGTGGTATGGGCTTACAATATTGCTCTTTAGCATGGTGAGCTCGTTTTACCCCAGGTGAGCTCGCCACAAATTATATTTTGCTTGGATGGGAGCATGGTGGGTCAAAACCTCTTTACTATGGGAGGTTCAGGCCGGGATCGACTTCACAAGGTGTCCTCTGGATGATTCCCTTGGACACGGCAGGTTGACATTTTGGGCCCAGTGGATTAATAAGCCAAACACCAAACACGGGAAACCAACGTCGGCAGCAAAAAAAAAGAGCCCCACCGAGCTGAGCTTGCACTCAAAGGGAGCTGCCGAGCTGCCCCTGAAGGGAGGATCGAGAGACCCATCCAGAAGCTTCAAAAGCAGACGTGGTCTCGGACGAATCATTTTCCTCACCTCCTCACCCGCCGAATCAACCCCCCAAAATATATATATATATATAAATGGCATGCTCCTTCCCTTCCGAAGGAAAAAACAAATCGACCACCGCGAGGCCCAGCCTTCACCACGTCGATCCACTCCCCGTCCGGGCCCTTCACGAATCGCTGCAGGAACTGCCGGTCCTGTCGGAGCCAGCCAAGAGTGGCCCCCAAAGGCTTCGGGGTTCCCTTTTGGTTTCCTTCAAACCGCAAAAAAAAGGTGCCCCAAAAAATAGACAGGCCCAAAAGAAAACCAAACCAAGAGGAAAAAGTCAGAGCAAATATATGACAATTCGTAAAAACTTGAGTGGAGAACCCGCTCTGGGAAATGTCCAATAGGTCCTGACCACGCTAAGAGTCTATGAGAGTGCCAAATCTCAGACTAGGAATCTAAGTGTCCTCACTTAGTGGAAAACTCCAACCACACATTGAGAGGATTTGAATGTCACATCCGACCCAGTTCTTGTGCGTGCCCCTTTTGCCCTTGGCGACTTTCCCACCCAAAAAGGAATCTGTTTTTTCCCACCACGCTTGCCCCGGGCCTATGGAGACAACCAGTCGATTTGCGACCCGAACAGTTGAACATGTTACTTGCACAACATGTCACTTTCCGACAAGCTCAAGCACTAGCTGGCTGGTGCTTGGAAAGCGACCATGTCTTGCGCCTAAGCCACTGACAGGTCGCCCAAGGCCAAGAAAGCGTATGAGTCAGGTCGCAGACCAAGAAACAAGAACGAGAATCCTTGGTCATCAATGTCCACAGCTATTGAAGTGGGTACGAGATGCTCTCAATCAAAAGTGTAGATTAAGGAACACACCGATTCGAAAAAAGAAAACACGTCTATGTTTGAGATGACCGCTCAGATGTTTCTTACCACAACAATAACGGTTTGAAAACCATGTTCGCTTCTTCGGTCATCGTGGGTGGTCTGCTCGGGCATGTAGACGTAGGAGTTGTACCTATCTGCCGGGGAGCTTGCCGGGGACTTCAGCGGACTTGGAACCTCGTCATATTTCCCGCCGTTTTCACCCCGTTTTCTGTCGGACCCTTTGCAAACACTCAACTTGTTGCTCCTGCATCTGCATGGTCGGATACATGGCCCTACTGAGTCGGACAGACTTAACTTCTTGCTGGTTTGTCTGGCTTGCCAAGAGGTACAGAAGCAGCAATTGCCTCCTGGGGCCCCACGAGAATTGGAGAAACATCGTTTGAGTGGTACGGTCATGTGAGGCAACATTTGGAAGAACAGCTCCTTTGACACGCGTAGCCAAGCAAGTTGGCTAGAACCAACTCCAGCTGCATAAACTCCAAACTGCGGCTTTGCTCAAGCACGAAGCTTACTGTTTATAAACGGGAGGAACCCCAAAAAAAGCCTTCATAGAGACAAGGTTTGGGGGTTCCAGTTTGATCCTTCCATGTTCATTTGCTGGGAGTATGCCGGAAATTGAGGAGGTCAACCCGGCTGAGGAATTCTATGGGCAAATCTATGGCCAACAAAGTGGCCCAGAAATGCGGGGGGGGAAGGCAGGGATGAAAAATCCCCCATCAAGCCTGCTACTAAATCATGCTGGAAAACGCCTCCCACATCCCTGCGCCCCTGCCAAGTGGTATTTGTGTGAAGACGTCAGTGCAGGCCTCCAGGCAGAAAGCCAAACTTTCAAAGTTCTCTCTCCTTGGAACCCCAACAGCCGACCGCGTACCGGAAATGGCCATGCCGACCGCGTATCCGCGGTCAAGAGGGCATGTGCCACTCCGCGGCATGCAAACACAAACGCGCAGAACTCGCAAAGAGCCGATTTTGTCACATGGCCTGCCTCTTATGCCCATCCCAGCAGACCCTGCAAGGCTAAGCCTAAACGGAGCCTCAAAACGCAGGATCTATTTTAACCTATTTGGCAGCCGATCCCATTTTCAACAGACCCTTCCAAGATCACATCATAACAGACCTCCAAGAGCTCCGCTCGCGCGCCGACGCCTCCCCCGGCCGGGGGCGCCAGGACTTCATCGGCACCTGCGGCACCGGCGCCAGCGCCGCCTCCGGGCCGGGCCTTCCGAGCGGGTGGCTCAGTGGGCGGGGCTCAGTGGCTTCTACATCCCTAGGCCTTGGCCGGGGCTCACATCCCACCACCAACCCAAACCAACAAATAGGGGTGTCCCAAGGAAACACCTGGGCTTCGGTTCGGGGGCTCGAGAAAAATTCGAGCGACCAATGTTACGTGATGCGGCAGGTCACATAAATCGGCAACATCCACACCATCCTCGAAAAAGGGAAAACGGAATGGAGCAACCGGGGATTTGGCTGACAAATCGGAGGGGTTTAAACTGCATCCGTCTCAGAGCTACACATCCACCAGGTTGCCTTTCTGAGTCCATTTCTTATTTAGCTTGGTGAAGCATCAAGATTCGGGAAAAAATATCCAGCCTGGTGCTTTGATTGGTTTCAAAGGGACCGCCTTTGAGCAAACTGAAGCCCCTGAATGGGGTCCCTAATCTGACACCTTTCGACAAAGCAACCATTTGGGAACCGTTTCCTTTCAGCCGGTCAGGAACCATCACAAACCTGTGACATTTCACAACCCATAGAATGTTTGAACAAGCACAAAATTTGGGCCCGTCCCATGAGGACGCAAAAAAATGTTTTGTTTTGTTTTTTGTCATGTCCTTTTGACCCCCTCCTGGTTTCCTTCGGGTGTCCCTGTTGGCATCCTTCATAAAGGGGGTGGCGAATTTGCAAGACACAACCTCGCCCGAACCTTCGAAGTACCTTTTGGGTCTATTGGGGGCATTCACAGGCCCGTCCAATGTGCTTTGGGGGTGGGGGGTGGGGGGGGTTCCACGGTACGCGGTTGAAAACACAACAAGCCCAAACATCAAAACACGAAGACAAGAACAACAAAAATCCCCAAAACAAAGAAAAAGGGAAGAACCAAAAAAAAACAAGTGGCTTCCTCTTAATTTGAGGAAACCACAAAAACACGGGCTGGGCCTCATGCCCCCCCCCCCCCCGCTCGCCAAAGCGCCGAGAGGCGTGGCACAGAGCTCCGACCAGGCGAAGGTGGCGCTGTGCTTCGGCACGGCGCCGTAGAACTCCGTGCCCCCCGGCTGCCTCGGGGAACGCGGAACCGCGGAAACGAAGCAGCGCGTCGTGTGAAACTCGCCACGTCACATCGCCCATTTAACCCCCCCCCCCCGGATCCCCCGGGCGCCCGGCGGTGCTTTTTGCGGGAAACGAGGCCCGGCGATTTTTGTTGGCTTCCCTCAAATTGGTGGCTTGGATCGGTTCGGGGTGTTCCGGGAGTGGTTCCCATTCACCCGCAAGAAAAGGGCTTCAAGTCCGAATCCGGGCAAACCTGCGGCTCAGAAACTGAAACGACAAAAGGGTGGGAAAGCCCTGGGTGATGGGTGATGGGTGATGAGTGATGATGGGTGATGTGATGGGTGATGTGATGGGTGATGTGATGGGTGATGTGATGGGTGATGTGATGGGTGATGATGAGTGATGGGTGATGGGTGATGAGTGATGGGTTGATGCAGAGATTCCTGAATCCCTGAGAGTTGTAGGAAGTTAGTGACCAAAGACTTTTCGCCTCTGCCCTCAGGGCCCTGAAAGCGGTCACCTCCCTATTTAGACCATAGAGATCTGTCCAACCCCATCTCCACACCCGATTTTCATCTGCCTCCCCTATTAGTGGTGGCTAGTTGTGGCTCTTGGTGTGATAAGAGGCGAATCATGGGAACATGAATGCACGACTCCCTCGCTTTGAGGGTGAACCAGATCCACTTTGCACCAACTGGTGGCGGTTTCTATCCATCCCAACTGGATACAGAGGCAGGCGCCCGCCTCGTGCCCTCGAGCGGGCTTCAGCAATTGACTCACTTCACCCAGAAAGGTTCGGCTGCCCGGCACCGCTGATCCCTCACGAGCATGTTGATAGTTCCTTGAACACTTCTCTTGTGGGTCGCCGTCATGGCTTCACAGGAACCCTTGAACTCTAGCCTGTATAGAGTTTGTGACCATCCCGAATGTTAGCATCTTCAGATCACAGCCTGACAACGCCGATCAACAGCATCTCTTCGAAAGCTTCGCAGTCCCTCGTTACCGCCATGATATCCTCCAGACAAGGTGGGACTTCATGTCCACCCACTTCCTGGTTCCCTTTTGAGTCGCCCAGCCACAGTGGGGTGTGGCTCAAAAAGCTGGAGAGATAGGGTTAGGCAGGCTTTGGTCTTTGGTTCCATTGACCCAGGTGCCATTTTGGAGCTGCCAGAAAGACGGCCCGTCGACAGCCCACTGCCTCGGCCGTGGGGCCGTCACCCGCAGGGGCGGCAGGTAGATGGGCTCCTGGCGGGAGTCACTGCCGATACGTGGCACACCAAGAGGAAGCTTCCCTCTACTTGGTGGTTTGGCTTGGCTGGCTTGGCGGAGTTGAGGAGGGGGTGCCCATTTACCCAGGACCAGGGATATCAGGAGCTCAAATCAGAATCCAAACCGGGCTCCAAACCACCAAGTCAGGGCCACCCCAAGGAGGAAGCCAACACGGCTTCCCCAATCTCACGGCCAGCGACAAATGGAGACGAACCCCCCCTTGACAGGCTACCCTCTTGCCAACAATCGCAGTCCCACTCTCATGGGTGAGAGTGGAACAAAACAAGTCTTGCCAACCGGCAGTTTGCCAAAAGGGTCCCAAATTACAGGGCGCAGGCGACACCATCGCAACCGAACAACGTGAAAACCGTGATTTCGGCACAGGCGAAGTGCAGAAACTGCCCCAAGCCGAGCGCCGGGGCAGGAAGCCCGACATGGCAGTGGACATGAGGTAGTGGGCTGAGTTGCCTTTTTACTTGATGGTAGTCTTCCTCCGTCATGAACTGAAGTGGCTTTGTCTCTAAATGGAACCCCCCAAAGAAAATGAGTGGGTTCCCTTCAAAACGACCCCAAACAAACGCCCTCAAAATGCACCAATCTTGGCCCACCCTGCCAGGCCACCTCATAGGCCGAACGGTACTGCGGACCTGGCGCCAAAATCCGCAAAAGCCGCGGGCCAAAATCGCAGCTGGACCCTTTTGCCCAGATGTACGAGAAAGGCGATGTGATTTGGGGGGTTCTCAAGCCCTCTCTTGGCATCTAGTCAAGAACAAACAAATGGGGGTCCTTTACTTGGGGTGACTGTCATGGAAATGTTGGGCCGGACGGAGTATTGATCAACCCCCAAATCACGGCATTCAGAGGCCAAAGGGAAACCGATCATGTTGAGCACCGAGTCCAACTTGTTTTTCGAGACACTGACAGGGATTCTAGGCGCCTTTGCCGCGATCTCGGGGGTACAAGCGTGTGGACTCTTGTGAAACGGAAAGAAACGCCAACCCAAAACTTGAGCTGTCCCTTTAATTGGTGGTGTGGGAGCTTGGTGGTCTGGAGGTGTTCCGAGGTGGAAAACCCCCTTTGTCATCCACAAGAACCAGGGTTTCACCAGGCTCAAATCCGCATCCAAGCCACCAATCAAAACCAGCATGTAGAGGGAGGCTGAAAACTGGTCCTGACATCCTCAAAATGACCTTCGTTTCATGATTCGATGGAACATCACGGGGACCCAAAAGCGGTTTTGACAAGCCCTCCAAATGCAAAAACTTAGGGAAACGACTTTCCCGGAAGCCTTTCAAGTGGCCCGCGGTCACGAATTTTCGGTAGGTGAGGTTGCTTGTGTTTTACAGATTCGCTAGGGTGGCACGCTGGAGCAGATTGCAACATGATTGCAACAACAACAAAAAAGAAACACCAGAGCGCGTGACACAACAAAGATGCCCGGGGGGGGGGCTGTTGCTGTCCCACCCCAACACTGCTTCTCACCTTGGGTCCCCGCCGCCTGACATCATCCAGTGCAATTTGTTGATTTCGCCCCAAGGCAGCCAATCAAACAAGGAAACTCTGAGAACACCTTTGGGGCTTCGAAGACTTTTGCGGGCAAACTGTGGCCACTCTCCAAAAAAGTGGATGACTGAATCTGGGTCTCTCTCTGAATACCCCCCAAACCCAAAAACGGGTACAAAAATCTGAGGCTCAGAGCGCAGAACTAGCAGTCAGTTCACCCGTTCATTTTGGGCTTGAGCATCCACAAGCGGCCAAAAGGAGGCTGCCGCCGGCCGCATGCGTTTTGGGCTTGAAACAGGCGGAAGAGGGAAACTGCATGCCGTTCGAGGGCCCCCAGCTTTTTGATCTGCCCGTTGCTTTTCAAAACGCAAGCGACAGGATAGGTGGGTGGTCCAACTAAGATCGGGGGGGGGAAGGGGGGGCGTGGCGAGCGCCAAAGGTTGCATTCGACAACTCAGTTGGGAACTTCCGACTGGAAGTTCCTTTTGAGAGCGATCCCTTCTGAAAAGCCTTGCTCGCCCTCGCCTGGCGATGGAGGGGCCGCCTGGTCTTCCGAGTCGGGCTTGTGGCTGAGGCTTCACAAACCCGACAGTGGCGAGTCCCTTCAACATGTGCAATAGTTCCCCAGGAAAAAAACAAAAAATGCCACTAGGAGCTTTTGTCACGGCAACCCAAGGTGAGCCCCTCCTCAATTTCTGGGGCCTGATCTTCAGAATGCCCTCCCATAGGCTTGTCGATGTCCCTTTACAAAGGGTCCGCAAGGGATCGCATACCCACGTGCCCCTCTCCAAGTCATGACAGAGCATGATGTCCGGGTGATGCTTTTCGAACACTTGGGCAAGGCTCGGGCTCGGGGGGGCTGCCTTGGTGTAAACAAGGTATCTCACCCAGGTAGAAACCAATCACAAAGCTAAAGTTGTAATTCTTGGCCTGGAGATCAACAACAATTCTCAAGTGCCCTTCTCCGATTCTGAGATTCCTCCCTCAATGGAACCCTTGTTGGTTTTTTTGCACACGTCTGCAAAGGAGCCGAGCTCTCGCTCGTCTGGCAAAAATGAGCGTCTCGACTGCAGAACACGAGCGAAAATCCATTTCGGACACCCGCAAACATAGGTGTCCTTTTTGGGAAAATAGATGGCCTTGGTAGTTGGTTGAACAACCAGGTACACCAGGGCCCTCTATTTTCAACCAAATCAACCCAAAAGGACGCCTATGCCCGCAAAATCTTGCTTTTGGAGGGCCCCCCCCACTTTGAGCCACCCACGCCGAGTTCGCTCGCCTGCCCCTGCGGGAAGACCTGCGACAAGGGCGGCCCAGGCCTCAGTGTGAGTCACTTCGACCGAGACCGAGACTGGGACCCAGGCCTTGCAACGCAGGTGGGAGTACTTCTGCTTGAAACTCCGGACTCATCCGGAGACTAATCAAGGATGATCACCTATTCCTTCCATTCGTTTTGGGATTCCTTTCCAGTTTCCCAACATTGCAACTTGTCCATGGCGATTTTTTCCCCTTCTCCTGGTGCTGAAAAAGCCACATGTTTCAACTGGTGGCAACATGGAGATCTTTTTTCAGGAGCCCTGAAGTTTAGGACCAGTTTGGGTCATTCCCCAGACACACCAAGAGCCAGCAGACCAGTTTCACGAGGCCCCGGCGCCGCCATCGCCCCCAACCAGCTGGCTGCGGCACCTCAGCTTTCGCGAGCACGCGGCGCGGAAAAGGCTAGAGGCGTTTTGGTGGTTGCTTTTTGTTTAGCCGCGAGTGCCCAGGTGTTTGTTGTTGTTTGGCTTTTTGCTTGCTTTTTGTTTGTTTTTGTTTAGCTTATTATATGTTTGTTTGTTTTTTTTCTGATAGGTGGTTCTCTTGCAACAAACGGGGGTTGATCAAAACGTCCGGGATACATGGGATGACCATTGGAAAACCCACTAAAAAGATGATATTCCAACCACATGGGAAAAGTGACCCATAGTCATTTGGGCGGGAATATTGATCAACCCCCAAATGGATATCGCTCATCATGTCTCGCGGCTCTTGGTTCAAACATTTGCGTCCTTTTGATTGAAGGCTAGATGGCCATCCAAGTTGCCAGATCGCTTGACCACACACACACACACACACACAGTGACAAAGGCAAGAAGCACAACCCAACAAGCTCTCCTTCGGAACGTGGACCGAGCAGAGGATTTTTCGGGAACTGGGATCCAATCATTGCAAGGATCCAAGCACCTAGCGAGCCTTCTGGGCCCTTCCCAAGCAAAGCCGAGCCAGCCCGCCTGCCAGCCCGCGCCGCGCGCGGGCCGAATTTCTATACGGCTGGAATCCGGGAGCCAAGGAAGCAGGCAGAGGCCAACTTGCGAGCCAGGGCAACCGTCCCATGAAAGAAGCTGTGAGTTGATAGGGACGCACCTGGCAAGTGCTTGGTGGACGTGAATCCCCACCGAATTCTGACCACCAGTTTGGGTCTGGGACTCCAGGTTTGCTCAAAACCAAGGGCTGCAAGCCACCTTTGTTGCATGAGCAAAAGCCGCACACAAAGGCTCTTCTCGGAAGAGCCTTGTAGCGCGGTGAGCCAACGGTGGGGCGTTAAATCGTGGCACAGCGTTGGACCAGCGCCTTGCTTGAACCGTCTCCGCTTTTGTCGGCCGAAGTTATGATAGAGTTTGCTGATGTACGTGTCCATGAGATATGCATACGCGTCTTATAATCGGAAGCACCTTTCAAAGCGTTTGATCCAAATCGACCCGCGCGTGATGTGGTGAGACCGGCATGTTGCCCGAAACAAGCAAGCCCACCTATCTGATTCTCGCACTCCCGAATTTGTGGACTTGGATTGTTGGGGATTCCTGGGGCCTGCGAATGGACCCAATGCGCCGTCGCGGGCTTCGCAAAAAAACGGCCGTGACTTCTGAGAGGCGCCGCGGGTCAGCCTAGGAAGGGCCTGCCAGACATCAGCGCGCTGACCTGGGCTGAAGCTCGGGGTCCCTTTGGAAATTTGCTTCGTGCCGTGGCCTAGTAAAGCTTTCTCTCGACTCAGGGCATGTGTCCAAAATGAGGTTCCAAGTACCAATCCACGCAAAGGCGGGTTGAAGGCCCACGCCCTTTGAGCTGCTGCCCAGAACCCGTTGACTTCTGCTTCTACCATTGGACATAGTTGTGGCCCAAAGGACGTCGGAAACTGGGGTTGTCCCCCTGTGCCACTGCGGGCAATGTGGCAATGTGGCAATGTGGCAATGTGTGTGTGCCTCTATGCCTGTGTGTGTGTGTGTGTGCATGTGGTCCCCCAACCCAACAGTCGACCGCCAACGTCGTGGATCTGAGAACGACTGGAGGTTGCGGTTCCAGTCCCGCAGCGGTCCTTTTCTGCCTGGAATTCTTCATTGTGTTCCTCCCGCCATGTTGTTGGAGCGAGGATCAGCACTGTGGGTCTTTTGGCAAAGTTGTGCATCTTGCCTTGCCAGTGTCCATATCTTGCGCGGATCAACTTGGATAACTTCTCTTGGGGAGGAGCCCTCCAAACAATGTGTCGCACGCACGTCGACAAAAATACTGCACTACCCCCTCCCCAAATTAACTCCCGTGGAACCCAAAGCCCGAAGTCGCCTCCGTCTTCTTCGGGGCACGCATTTGGGTTTCCAACATCATTCACACGCGACCTGGTCTCCCTCCCAGATTTCGCCGGAGCACATTCGCGATGACCACTTCCCTGGTGCTCCTGCGGGTATCTCGGCGTGGAAAAATGGGGTTCCACTCAAGGACTCTCCAAATTCACAAGCCCACAGAGAGAGGGAGATCCCTCAACAGGGTTGTGGGATCAAGGGCTTTATCCCCACTGTGACACAAGGGAATCCCCTTATATTGGGGGGTTAGTCTTTGGGAGGCCCTTTTTGCTGTATCACAGAAGTAGTCATTTGGCACAGCCCTGTTCCTCAATGGTTGGGTTCCGCGAGTAGAACTCAACCAAACTCAGCCCTTGGGACATGGGGTCTGTCCATTCATGCTTTTTTTGGTTGGGGTGCCCCTTTTGGTGTCGCTGTTTCTTTTCTCTTTTAAGGGAAGCTCAGAGGAAACCGTTGCCAAGTAAAAGGAAGGCCATTCCCCCTTAGTTTGAGACCAACTCGCAAAGCACCGAGCAATTCGGTCGGAACTCGAGCAGCCCGGGCTACCTTCGGAAAGATCCAGGAGTGGAGCTCGAGGAGTTCTTTCACATCTCATAGGTGCTGTCTACACACATATCTGCGCATGAATTTATACATACATATAATATATATATATATATATATATGTTCTCATAGGCCACATATCTGCACATTAATGTATACACAAATACATAATATATATATATATATATATTATATATGTACATTTGCAGGTATATATGTATGACATGCATGTTTTGCTAGCTTTACATTGATGAAAATACTCAGCGCATCTGCACAACTCGCCGGGCACACTTCTCTTTCTCGAAGGAGTCGGGATAGAACGACCGCCTGTCTGACATGCCCGCAGAAGCATCACAGCTTGCAGGTTTCCACAAGGCCGCCCTTTCTTTGTGAGGGACTTGTTCCGACTTTTGCTGGATTTTTGCTGGGGTCCTTTTAGAGCGTGTAAGCTGGACTTGGGTTCGTTAGCACTTAGGGCTTTAAGGGCGGGGTTAGAAAGGAGGGGGACAAGCTAGATTTGAGTGGGGTGAGTTTGAGGTTTGTTTAGAGTTAGGGCGGCCTTGGTCTGGCTTACGGGTGGTTTCGGGTGGGGTTTAGGGTGGGTTTGGGGTGAGTTTGGGGTGGGTTTAGGGTTGGCTTAGGGTGGGTTTAGGGTGGGTTCAGGGTTGGTTTAGGATGGGTTTGGGGTGGGTTAAAGTGGTTTAGGGTGGAGTGGGCATATAGGTTTGGGCTTAGGGCAGGTTATAGGTATGTCCAGGGTGGGTTTTAGGGTGGGTGTTGCGAAAACTTGGATGAGTTTAGGCTGGGTCTCAGATTCGGGGGGGTGGTTTAGTGCGGGTTTTCGGGCGTCTGCTTGCTTGTTCTCTTGCGTGCTTGCATGCGTGCTTGCTTTCGTGCGTGCTTGCGTGCTTGCTTTCGTGCGTGCTTGCGTGCTTGCGAGCTTGCGTGCTTGCGCGGGCTTGCGGGCTTGCGGGCTTGCGGGCTTGCGGGCTTGCGGGTGGGCAGGCGCGAGGGCGGGCGGGCGTGCGGGCGCGCGTGTACTTACTCGCTTGCTCTCTTGCTTGCCTGCCTGCCTGCTTGCTTGCTTGCTTGCTTGCCTGCCTGCCTGCTTGCTTGCTTGCTTTCTAGGGATTTTGCGTCAAGATTCAAGTTCTCCCCAGCTGAAAGGGAATTTTGCTGAGTAAACTCGATTTCCTGATGGCAACTTGGTGTGCCCGATGCCACTGCCTGGAGTTGATCAACGAAAACATAGTGACCACTGCTCACATCTGCGGGCGTCACTCCCAAAAAAAGGCGTTTGCCCGGTCCACTGGAACATGCCCCTCCATCTTCCAGGCAAACTGGACCATCACTTTCCACCCTCGTTCCACCATGTACCACACCCTTGGGAATTCGCCGTTTCCTCTTCAACCCAATCCCAAACAAAGCCACCCGGGGCCCCTCCTAACTTCCTGGACGCAGGAATCTTCATAAGGCTGTGGGTCAAAAATAGGTACCCAAAGCGGAACCGTGGTAGATGGAAACATGGACTAAACCTGCGGTCCCCTGGTGGTTTCATTTTGACTCATACCCAGCCACCTTAGTGCTTTGTAGACATAAATCTCCGCCTAAATGATGTCCACCAACGGCGCCCCACTCAGAACTGCCCGCCTCAACCTCCGGATGTTGCGGTAGGACTGGTCTGCCTGAAGCTTGCACAACAGAGTGCTTTCGTTTCGACCTCAGCCTTTATTCCCAATCAAACAAACATGTCGGTGTGTCTTTTTTAGGAGACGCGGAACGACCCGCCCCCCCCAAAAAATGGTGGTTATCCAAAACAAGGTACCCTCCAAACAAGGAAAAAAGACACATCACGGGGCGTTTTTCGTGAACCTGAAAAGGCAGAATTTCTGCAATAGATGACACTGAAGGGTTTTACACGTTGGCCGCTGAACATAGGGATTAAATACGGGGTCTCGTTAACATTGAGAGCGGTTCTCAGAGTTACCCTTGGACCACATGAAGTTTGTTTTGAGGTCACTTTCATGAACCCAGAATTCGTCTTACGCAGCTTGAGACAGGTGCGGCCCGGGAGATAATCAAAACCATGCCCTTCTCACTGGCACGGCCCTTTTTATCACAGGAACCTGATGCGAAAGTTGCCAATGCCTTCAATTCATGTAAAACATATACTGTTTTACTATGAAAAGGGAGTGAAGGAATTGACTCACAAAAGATCTGGACAAAATGAGGGATTCCCAAGGGACCTTCATCATTAGCGGAATCGCGCGTTTTATCTGTCGGTGAGCTCATTCACTGCAACATTTTGGGTTGGCTTCCACATGAGGCACTCCTCATGTGATTTCCCTGAGGGATTGAATAGTTTCAGAATGGGTCGCTATGATCTCCCCACACGGACCCATTTTTTTACGACCCATCGCCTCATAAAGCTCGCGCTCGCCCATGGCGAGCTCATCCTCATCCACCTACGCTCCGAATAGCTGCCGAGCCTCTCTCAAAAACAGCAGGCCAGAAGTTCAAACGGAGGAACATGGAATTCACGGTCTTGCGGAATCCCGAATAAACCAGAGGGAAAACCTTTGGGCCCTGGATAGTTCCAGCTGCGAAGGGGGCGCAGCTCCAAGTCTGGCTTCAACCAGAGGCACCACTCCCCCCCCCCCGTTCCCGGGTAAGCTACGAGTGTTTCTCCGGCCTTCTTCTTCTTCTTTTTCTTCTTCTTCTCCACGGGGATGAGGGTGAGCTTCGACCTGTGAGAATCCCATCCATACCGTGTCACCGGCTCAGGTGATTTTGGAAGTTAAACCCCTCCTTTTGCATAGAAAATCTCGAGGCCCTGTTTCATGACCTGCGGAAACTGCCCACCTGTTCCAAGTGACTAGTCCTTAGTCGCCTTTTAGCTTACCGCGCTACTTTCCTCCTGCCCACTTCCCCGGGAACGCAAGGATAAGGGTCCCTCATATCTGAGACAGACCCGAATGATCCCTATGAACCATGTCGAGTTTGCTTCAAAATAAACCTAGCCCCAAAACCCTTGAACTTCTGAAACGCACGAACATGACACCTACCATCCCGTCGAGTTGCCTTGCAAGATCCCTCTAGTCCCAAACCCGTCTCTTTTCATGCGGACACGCTAATCCGGGGGAAAAAAAAAAAAAACGAGACCTGCCTCAGAAAAAAATCGTAAAAGGTCCATGGATTGAACATCCCGGGGAAAA